CAATATTTACTAAAACAATGGCGATTGTCCACAATCAAACGTTACACATGCACTCGACGTATTCCAATTACTTAGAGGGCATTTTTTCCATACGAAAATTGTTGAAATATACATCAACGAAGGAAAAAGTTTGATATTTTTTTTCATTGCTTGGGGAACTGTTTGAATGTATTCAACGTTACAATAAATAATATAAAGAAAAAAAAACCTCGTAAAATTGTGCAAATTAACGTGCAAGATAGGCAGAATAAAAATAAGGAAAATGAATGAATGAGGTGAAATGGAAGGACAGATTACGTTTCCGTGGAGCACACGAGTGCCTTATGGTACATTATTAATATACCAACTCGTAGAGTTTTGCATGCACGAAAGGAGCTTCTCGATGGCAGGTGTACAACGTTATATCATATATACATATATACATTTATATATATATATATATATATATTTATATGTACACATATATATATACATAAACACGAATCCAATCGAAGTTAGAACTGGCGAGACGCGACTTGGAAAATGCACACGCTTGAGTGTGATGCAGAAGGGAGAATCGACGGCAACTGAAACTATATACAACACTACAGAAGGGAAGAAAGTTTACTGTTCGATATTTTCTAAATCGACTAACTCTACCTTACAAAACTTTGCAACTGAAATTGCTCAAACCACGCGCATCCCAATGTTTCTTGACTCTTCCCCTAGACGTGTGTCTCATCTCAATCAATCTTATGATCGTTCAATACCAGTTGAAGAACAAAAAGCTATCTACATAATGCCAAGTATAATGATAGCTGTAAAATCAAGTTCAGAGTAGTAAGTTGAATAAAAGTAGTCTGAATAAAACTAGATTATTCTACTTGATTTTTTTTCTTTCAGTTGAAAAAACTATTCTTCATAGTATTTTAACATTTTCAGACGATTGAAAGTAAAGGGTATCAGAGTTTTATAACCTAGATGAATGACTGGATTTAATATCAAATTGATAAAGATCAAAAATTGTTTAAAATTCTAATCATGTAATTTGATATTATTTAAAATCAGTATATTTTTTAATTCAATCGAAACTTGAACGATACCAGTTAATAAGTATTGTTATTTAATCAAGATTGAGTGTAATAAATAAATAAAAAATTAGTGAAGAGTATTTTCAGAATAAGTGAAATTGTTTGGTTGTGTTTAGATATCTTTCAAACACGAACTGTCATTGATTGCTTATAAATTTCAGTATTAATATAGATTTATTGATCAAATTGGTTACTCCAAAACTCTTATCCGATTACGCTATTCAAACTTGATCATTCAACTCTGCACCCAGCAATCATTGTTACTTAAGCCTATAAGTTAAAATAAAAAGCTCAACATAAATCGCTTTGACTTGTGTTATCTCTATGAATATCGACTCATAAATAGTATACACACTATAAGAGACAACTCAAAAAAAAAAAAAAACAATTTTCTATCGTAACCGTGATATAATGTCACTTGGGTGTTGTTATGGAGATCTAAAAATGTCATAAAAATAGAAAAACAAACGAAAAAAATTCTTTATAGAATATAGGGTAGTATATAAAAGTTTATAAATATTCAATAGTTATTAAATAAAAATTTTATAAAAATATTTTTCTATTTTTACTTTCACTAATCATCTAGAGAATTAAAAAAGCTTTAACATGTCCATGTTTGATATTATTCTTAATATAAAGATAATTCATTTTCATCCAAAAGATATTTTAATTTTCTAAAGTCATAATATTAATTTTAATAATAACTATTTTAAAACAGAGTTATTCATTATGATTTGGTTTAATTTTTTCTTTTAATATTATACACTGAACATTTTATTTGAATGGAATAAACTTGTATTAAATCAGTCTTACAAAAAAATATCATTTTTTCTATTCATATTTGTTATTGAGAAAAAATTTTCTTTTGATCTCAAATAAGTAAAGTAGCAATTCTAATTTACTCCATATGAAAGTTGAACTTTATACTTGTTGCAAAGAAATGTTTGAATTTGAGTTTCCATAAATTAGTTCAAAGAAATGCTGGGATTGGATAGAATACATATAAAATTAATATCCTTAAATCAGAATTGCTATTAAAAGTCAATAAAATATGATATAATATAATGGTTGAACAGTATTGTTAGTTTTATGGTATAACACATAAACAGACAAGTGTTAGTTCTAAAGCTCTCTTGATTATAATCAGATTATATACTTTACAAGAGATATGAATGGCATTACACGTCGATATAAGAGCCTTGATTAAATTTACCTAACGTGATGAGAATAAATAAATTATTCGTATTTGAGCTTTCACGCATGATTATTCGAAATCGTTACTTCATAATGATGATATTATCTGTCATAATAATGACATGTAGTGTTACAAATATTGCGATTGTTGTGGGAATGCAGATATTTTGATTAGCACTGTCATGACCATTCGTTAATAAATCATTTATAATTTTTTATTTATAACCATTTTTAGTCAGGACATATGTCACGTCATGAACTGAGGAATAAATTAATCGTAAATGACATATTATTAGATTGGGAAAAAAGATAAAAATTTTTCTAGTATATTGAAATAACTTCTTTAATTTTTAATTACTTTTTTTTTAACTAAAAACCACTAATAGTTCTGTTTTTAAATTTTAAAAAGAGGCTTACCTACATTATTTATTTTTAAGTAGTTAATTAACGTATGCACTGCAATATTGCTGATGATGATTTTGCTCATTTATTATTCATCAAACCGATTTTTTATTGATTAATTTTTATAATAAATTATTAAATAAAAATCAATAACTCTTTTGTTTATTAACAATCGAGTTTTTCCTTAATAATCTTCAAAATTTGTTACTACAAAATTTACTCAAATTATCGATCCGAAAAACCCTCGTCAAACTAAAGTAAGACATGTACTAATTACTGCACGTGGCGTATAATATTAAAGTTTCTTTCATTCACTACAGATTTATATCTTCTAATAATCCAAGTTAACTGTTACAATAAAAATAATGATACCAATATCATTTGACACAATAGATAAAATAATTCATAAATTAATTCAACTGAACTATAAAAAAGAGATATTTCCTTCCTGTAGTCTAACTGCAGAGGGTCAAAACTAAAATAAACTGAAATAAATAGCAGGGGTGGATCTCACCAAGTTTCTTGCTGAATGTTTTGATAAATGTCTGAAATCTCAGCACAATTATTGAAGTCATTCCTAGAAAAATCAATAATGTCGATTTTTGCTTCATGGTAGACTACCTTTTATGTGAATTTAGTGGAAAAAAAACCAATACTGTAATCTCGTTTGATTGATGATAAACTATTAATGCACAGTGTTAACAAAAAAAATCGATAAAGCTGTTCAGAAGAAACCGCGATTTTCAATTTTTCCTTATCAGCAAAATACTTTTTACTGAAGACATGAAGTAACACATAAAAGTGATAGATTTTTTGCCGGTGACATGTGCACGAAGATGTCGATAATTTTATGTCTTGTCAATAATTTTATTTTTTTATCTTTACTCTCAATTTTTGTTCGACTTTCAAACTTTACTTACTTTTATTTTTTTTCTAGAAAAACTGAAGAAATCATTTTTATGTTTATTCTTTTCAAATTGTTTGAAAGTGACTTTAGCAGACCATTACAGTAATAATCAAACATTACTTTACAACAAAGATATTAGTTTTCTCAGATATTAGGGCGTTTAGTATATGTCCAAAAACTTCGAGAAGCTCTTTTAAAACTCAGTTCTTTATAACCACTTTTCCCTAGTAAATTATGCATCACAAAATTTTTAAAAATGAATATATCTCCTTTTTACTTGAAGTTTGAGCTTTTAAATTTTTTTACCAAAGTTGAGCTTAACATATTTGTTCTTTTTCTTCTTTAATCAAAACGTATTGTCATTCTGCTCAACTAAAAAGTCGTAAATTTTGTTTTAAACTATTTATTAACTTTCTATGTTTTTTGCAACCTGATATATATTTTTTGTTATTTTTTTTTAATTACCTCTGTTTTTTGTTCTTTCATTGTTGCTATTATACATATTTTTTTTTTTAAAGTAGTATTTTATTAATTAATTTTAATTAAAAACCTTTAAAAAAAAACCGCAATTTATTATCTTTCAGAACTCAATCAAAAATATATCGGATTTCAAACACGACTAAAAAATTTCTTGCAAGTTTTTCTTTCAATAAATGCTACAGTAATAGTGAAAATTTAAACTTTTCACATATACGTTCTCTATTAATTTAACCTGAGTTACTTTGTAAAATTTAATATGAAAGTTTACATTACCTAGAATATTTTATAGTAAAATTACACACGTTTTTCTAGTCTATAAAACTAATGAAAATTTTTTTTCGTCATTTCACCACATGACTTTCTGAAAAGTTCATTCACATTTTAATATATCATATAAAATATGTAAGTATTGAACCATAGAAAAAGTTGGGTGAAAAAACGTAATTTTCTTTCTAAATTAGTTATACGACGATAATAAACAATAAACAAAAAAAATAGTGCAAGTAATGTCTGCTGTAAATGACATTTTCTTCAATAAAATTCAAAAGCTAAAAGAATGTACGGAAAAAATTATTAGTTTGTAAAAAACGAATATGAATATGGAAAGGTATAATGCTCATTTAATTTCCGGGGTCGATTGTAGACTAGGTCAGAAATTTTGCCAACATCTATTTGCTCGTATAGCTCAATGTCTGTTCGTGATGTTAATTCGTTTTTCCAAGGAGTTAACAGTGCCAGGATTTCTCTAATATTTTTTCCCTGGCCTTAATTACATCTAACCAACATACCTAAGAGGTTTGTTCGTATAAAAATGATAATTTCGATTTCATCACCGCCACACACCAACTGCTAAAAATGTTTAAATTTTTACAATTATTATTATAGTCATAGTTTTTATTGTACAGTCATTTCAATTGTTATTAAAAGGAATATTTTTCTTTTTTCAGGTGCTGAAGATGTATTTAGGTTTACTGGAAATGAAACCCATACAGATTACTTCCGTTTGGTGCTGCGAGATGGAAACTACCTCCTAGTTGGCGGACGGTAATTTTATTATTTTATAATTATTTAATAATAAGACATTCAAATGATATCATTTTATCATTTACTCTATGTTTTAATTAATGATAAGAAAAATGAAACATTTTCTTCAGCATGTTTCTACATCGTACAGAATTGTTAATGGAATTTTCAAATTTCATATCGAAAATTATTTGATGATTAACAGTAATAATTAATCTTGATATCAAAACATAGTTGATTAGTCATCAAATTATTATCAGCAGTACCTAGATTTATTCTCTAAAATTATAATAACTTTTTCCTTTAAAATTTTTACTCGTTACACTTCAATTACAGTTTACATTCCAGTTCTCCTAACAACCCGAATAATGCATTTACATTAAAATTCTAATTCAAGTCTAAACTTTAAAATTAGTTAACCAAAATAGACCTTGTACTGTCAGTTGAATATATACATTCAATTACATCAATTCTATCACCGACATTTATCAATACTTCATGTTAAAATAAGCACCGTGACAATTATTAATAAAGTTTATAAACTAAAGTTTACTAGAGAGAATAATGATAACCTATATATCTAGTTATTTTTAATAATAACTCGGATCTAAACAGCGATAATTTCACTGCCTCTAGATAGTCATGACAATCGTGACATTTAAATATGGCGAATAATGCTTAGGGGGGCTAGAGATGATAATGATGGCTAGGTCATATGTTAGAGAAATGGACCACAATTAACAGACAACTGGATTTAACCGATAAATAAAATAAAATTAAAATTGAAAGATCTATTTTATTAAATAATTATATTTTTTAGTTCAATTATATTAATAATAAAGAACTGTATAGATGTATGTATGAAAAATAATCCAAGTGTTAATAATGACTTAGTTTTAAAGAACACTAAACTTCATCTCAATAGCAAAGTAATGATGGAATGAAAATTTGTATCAGAAGATGATTCATAGCAGAAGATGCACTTCCCTTTTATTTCAACAATCGATTCATCATTAGTGAGAAAGGAGTCCATCTATCAGCCAGTACACCCTAAGCTGATTATATAATCAACACATAACTAGAACAGAGTAACTCTAGCGATCATGCATGAAATTTTAATCACTGTCACAAGGAAGCCAGTAAAGCTCTTATTTTTTTTAAATCCTACCATCTAGAAATATTTAAATATTCGAATAAGTGTCTTTATTTATTTGAAAGTAAAAAAAAAATTATTATTTTATTTTATTCTTCACAGATCATTAAATAACTAGAATTAATTGTATTTGATTGTTTATACATCTTTTCTAGTTTCATATTTAAAAGAAAAACTATCAAAAGTACATAAGTCTTTCATCAGTATTGTTGAAATTTTTCAAGTAGAGTACTTGTTATTTAACTACTCAGCAACATTTCAACGTGTTTGTAATGATCTCGTTAAAACTTTCGTTCAACTTTGAAATCTTTTCAAAATTAAAATTCAGATCAAATCAACTACCCGCACGTTATTATGAATTCATTTAGAAGAATCTGCATGCAACATTAATGCAAATAAGGCCAGAATAAATAGATAATTTTTTTTTTTATTTATTAATATAATTTTAAAAAAGTTGAAGTGAAAAATCAGAATCATCATGAATAAAATAATAATTATATTTTATTTCATTAAATCTAATCGTTGTTAAAGTAAAATTAAAAAAATATATCTATGTATTCTCACCTATTTTATTAAAAAATATGATTTTACAGTTTCCTTAAATAAATAATTCATTATTACTTTTCATTATTATGCTAGGAGAGTTTTATTCAAATTTCATGTGAATATATTACGTTATTTTATTTAAGTACTTGGCTTGAAATCATTTTTATGCCATTTCTTTTTCAACTTATTAAAAAATCTTTTATTAAATTTTTTGTTCATTTGTATGTATATATACATATTGTTTTTTATATGGAAAGTTCGAAATTAATTTAAAAATATTATATGACAAGATTATTACATTACATTATGTACAAATGAAGTCAATTATAATAAATTCATATTATAAAAATGAACTTCATAAAAGTCATTATTTCTTCTATACTTCAGGACGCTTTAATAAAAAAAAAAAACAATTTCCTTGATAAACAAAGCTAACTTCTATTATTTTTTTTATTATAATACTCAAAATGGTTTATTGAATTCTATACCAATAATAAATTTATATAGAATCCTTCATTCAGAACCTTACAATGCAATTTATCTCTTCTAGTACTTGTTTTAATTATTGTTGAAGCATTCCATTTTATTCTTAAAGCCTTTCGTATTTAAACATTTTTTATTGTTCAGTTTGATGTTTAAAATACACAAATAGAGACAATAGTTCTGTTTATTAGTCAAAAACATCCAACAACATTTTGTTTATTTTCCAACAATAATAATCCATCATTAATAACTCAAACAAAAATTAATTAAACACTTGGTAGAAATGATTATATAGAAAAATATTATTGAATTAATTCAGATCGATTTAACAATCAATAAATTCAATTGACTATCTATAATATACGACTGCATTCAACAAAGCACTCATTACACAACTATACGAGATATTGAATAACGGGTTCAAGCTTTCGACAATATCCAACATCATTTGATGCCACATATACATATAATACCTCCAATGCTTTGTCTTCTCGTTGATATATTATACAACCAATTTCTTTTGTTGTTCTAATATATTGAGGATATCACGATATTGTTTTCATTCCTGACAAGAACAAAGATTGGTTCATTTCTGGTCTAGGATAAAACTAAAGTTGAACATATTAATTTAATGTTGGGCCAGGAATGGGTCAATCTTTATTTCTATCAAGAAATAGCTTTTACCTGATACAAAATAACTTGACCAAAAAATTCTTCATGTATAAAATATGTAACTAATATAAATGACTCTATTATTACAATAATTTATTTTGTTATGTTCCAGAAACCTAGTGCACAATTTAAGTCTAACTGATCTCACCGAACAGCAGAGGCTGACGTGGTACTCCGTGGAGTCGGATGTAAAAATGTGTGTGATGAAAGGAAAAGATGAGGAAAATTGTCAGAATTATATAAGGATACTAACCAAGACAGGTCCATCAAATCTGCTGGTGTGTGCAACAAATGCATTTAAACCAATGTGCCGTGACTACATTGTGCACAGTGGAAATTATACGATATCAAGTGAGAAGACGGGTCAAGCATTATGTCCGTATGATCCACAACAAAACAGTACATTTGTGTATGTTGATGGCGAATTATATACTGGCACAGTTGCTGATTTTTCAGGAATGGATCCAATTATATATCGAGAACCACTTCAAACCGAACAGTATGATTCAATGAGTTTAAATGGTAAATATTAAAATACTTGGGAATTTTATCAGCTTTTTATGAGAATATATCTTTTATCTAAATATTCAATGCAGTTATTAAAATGGATTAACATATTATAAAAAATCATGATAACGTTGCAGTATTTTTCATTCAATAATTTCTATAAGAGATTAATCAAAGCCAGTAAGAGAGAATAATATCAACTAATCTCTATAATACAATCCATATGCTTTTATCATTTTTCCAAATAATTGTCGAATTTGTATTCATTTTAAACCATCTATTCATTCAACTGAAAATTACAAACGAAGATAATTTTTTTATTTTAAAAATAAAAAAGATTATTTTCAATGGAAAAAGCTCACAATTTTTTTAAATATTAGAGTGTTGAAAAATAATGAATTAAAGTAGAAATTTGTTGGAAAGATTTTATGTTGCCTTATTAAGTTATGTTTCATAATTGGAACAAACATATATTGTATAATACAAATGGTCCTAAAAAACAGAAAATTGCAAGATGAATTTAATGATATTAAATTTTTTTCATAGACTGTTTCAATTTTTATGTTAAAAATTTCTTATCCGAAATGTTTAGGATGAAAAATATCATGTCATACTACGGAGACGTGAAATGTTGTATGATGTAATATATATCGCTCTTCTTTTAAAAAATGATGGAAAATAAATTAGTGCTTATTAAAAAATAAATAAATAGTGTGAGCGAAAAATCTCTCTTAAGATATAAAATGAATAAATTTTTTTTTATTTTCTAAAGTATCAAAGCTGCATGATTTTGTTAAAAAAAAAAGAAAATGTGTTGTTGAAAAAAATATCTTCAATTATACTGAAAATTTTCGTTTTAAAATGCACTTCATTGATTAAACCAATTGAATTCCATTAAGCAAAATACTTCTTTCAACAAATAAGTAGAATAAACAAGCCAATAGTCAGACAAGCAGAGAAGAAGTTTGTTGTTCTAAAAAGCTTTTTCTATAGAATCTGAATTATTAACTTCTCATGTAATTTTTACAATCTATCATGGAAAAAATTGTAACTATAAAAAAGATTAATATTTGTACTTTGTTTAAACAATTTGTATGATTTTTCTTTCAAAAATCTAATATATTCAAGTTTAGTGTAATGTCGAAGAAAGAATATGATTTTTAATTGAGCAATTCCAAAAGTATATTAAAATTCTCATAATTTGATATAACAATCAATAAATTAATCCATAATGAAACTTTTTGTAACAAGATAATTAATATATTCTGTGAAATTAATAAATTAACAAAGTTTCGATTCAGTTACTCAGTTTGTCTGTTATGAATATAATCTTCATTAAGAATGCTGTCTTATACAGTTCTATTGAGAACTTTTTCTTTATTCTAAAGTTTGATTAATTAATTCAAAAGTTAATTTATTAACATTAAAAATAAAAATGCGACAGACTTAATAAACTTATTTATCATTTATTTTTCAGCTCCTAATTTTGTAAGTTCGATGACCCATGGTGACTTTGTATATTTTTTTTTCCGAGAAACAGCAGTGGAATATATTAATTGTGGAAAGGTAATAAATGAAATTAATTTAACTTTATGTTACTATAATACTTTTAAAACTAAATGACAAATTATGACATGTTTATATTTCATTTTAAGGCTGTTTATTCACGAGTAGCAAGAGTTTGTAAATATGACCGAGGCGGTCCTCATCGTTTTCGTAATAGATGGACCTCATTTCTCAAGTCTCGCCTAAATTGTTCCATCACCGGAGATTTTCCATTTTACTTCAATGAAATACGTAAGTTTTAAATTTTCTAAGAAAACGGCTCTTTATGATCCTTTTTTCAAGTATCATTTAATCATATTACTCTATTTAATTAATTAATTTATTTGATAAAAGTATAATGCAAGTTAAATATATTATCTTGTTAGTTAATTTTAAAAAAAACTACCATAAAAACCGCTCAAAAATGAATTATAATGCAAATAAACTTTGGGTAAATATACCCTTTCTACCCATAATTACATCAATCTTATTGGTCTTCATTTAATGTAATTTCTTTTACCATCAGTAGCATTGATACAACTACTTAAACTATTTATGTTATTATTAGATATTATAAAGTAAACTCAAATGGTGATGAACCTTTTTTCTAAGTAATTAAAATTTTTTTAATTAAATATCATTTACAGAAACTTATGTTATTATTTAGGAATAATATCGGAATACAGAGTTTACCATATAAAAAGGAAATTAAATTTATTTGAAAAATTATAAGGCTCTTTTAACGGAAATTAAATTAATATTTCTTTTCATTTGTTATTTAATTCACGATGTTTTCTACGTTCCTTTTTATGAACGTTTATATTCAAAAATATTGATTAACATAATTAAAATCTTAATTGTATTCCCCCAGCTTTATTTGATAATAAAATTTACGATTGATTAATTTTTTTATTATAAGTTCTCTTTTAAATAGCTACTAACTTACATCTATTTTTTGGTATGTTCAAGAATCAACAACTGATCTCATTTCTGGCCAATATGGCAGTGTATCAGCACAACTAATATATGGAGCATTTACAACGCCAGTGAATAGTATAAGTGGTTCTGCCGTTTGTGCATTTTCATTGCAAAATATTTCAGACACGTTTGAAGGAAACTTTAAAGAACAAAGTGCTATTAATTCTAACTGGTTGCCGGTTCAGAGTGCCAAAGTACCCGATCCAAGACCTGGTCAGTGTGTTAATGATTCACGAACACTGCCGGATCTGACGTTGAATTTTATTAAGACTCATTCACTAATGGACGAATCAGTGCCAAGTTTCTTTGGCCAGCCTATAGTCATTCGTACTAGCTTCCAGTAAATATCATTAATTTTCATACAGTTTTTTAGTTATGTGACTAGATATCTGGGTTAAAATATTCTGAAAAATAACATACAAATAGTGAGAGAAAATATCTGCTTTAGAAAAATCAAAAAAACATCCAAGACAGTAATGTCTGATGCCAACTAATATTTCAAGTTGTTTTGTCAATTTTTTTTTTTTATTGTTTAAATTTTCAAAACTAAACAACAACGATGCCAGAAAGAAAGATTTTACTTTTTACACATTTACTTTTTAATGAGTTATCGTACTTTGAAACAAAAGTCGTTTTCTGAGTTCCGTGACTCGATTATCTGGAAACAAGTTAATGTAAGATACTATTGAAATAAGAAAATTAAATCTTGTGGTGTAACTTTTAAACATCATTCGAAAAATATTACCACTTTTTCTATAGATAGTCGACTAAAATAAATTTCATTTATTTTATTTAATTAATCACTTAAATTTCAATTATATTATCTGTAAAATTTATTAATAATTATTCTTTAACATCAATATAGATTTCATGTCAAATTCAACCAATTTATAATCTTTCACAGTTGAATATTTTCACTCGTCTATCATATTTAAAAAAATTTATATTTAAAATACATAAAAAAGAACTTTAATCTCTAGAATAAATTCCATTTTAATAATCCTTCAATTCTTGTACAATTCAGTTAATTAATTCTCAATATCAAAGGTATGATAATTCTAAATATATTATTGAAAGTTTCTTTCAATAATTTCATCTATTTAAATCAGAATATTTTTGCCAGATATTCAATCATATTATGATTTTTAAAGAAACATATTTATAACCTACTTTGAACTTATAGTTACAGATTTACTCAAATCGCAGTAGACCCACAAGTGAAGACGCCAGGAGGGAAAACTTATGATGTATTATTTATTGGAACTGACAACGGAAAAGTGATAAAAGCGATCAATGCTGACTCAGCAGACTCACATGAACGTGTTAGCCCGGTGGTGATTGAAGAGATTCAAGCATTTCCCACGTCAGTTCCTGTACGTGCAATTAAAGTAATACGCGCATCTCAAGCAGGAGATGGACTAGAAGACGGCCGTCTCGTAGTTGTCGCCGACAGCCAAGTCCAGGCGCTGAGATTGCATCGTTGTTATAGTGACAGGATATTATCTTGTGGGGAATGTGTTGCTCTTCAAGACCCCTACTGTGCCTGGGATAAAGAAGAAGGCAAATGTCGAGCTCTAGTCGGGCCAGCTGCTACTGACGCCACGCGATTTCTTCAAAGTGTTGCAACTGGCAATCATGCATCTTGCCCGCCAAGCAAAGTTTCTAGTAAAGATGCTGGTAGTGTTGGTGCTATCTCGGCCAATCAAAACAAATTTCCCCAAGATTCAATAATTTCAAACAAAGACAGCCAAGAAGGAGAAATAATAAATATAATGCAAGATGAAGAGCAAAACAATTCTGGTAAATAGACTTTATAATACATTTATCAACTTATTTCTTTCTTCTTCTTTTTCTTTTGGATGCACAAAAAAAATACGAAGAAGGAAAATAATTGAAAACTTTTAAATGTTTTCTTATGATACGGAAATTACTTTTAGGTCCGGAAGTATCAGCAGCAGACACTCCAGTGCCTCAATACTCAGTGGAAACTTTAGTGATGGCAGTAGTTGCAGGAGCACTAGCGGCACTATTTGTTGGTTTTGTAGCTGGCTATTTGTGTGGTCGTAAATGTCGAAAAGATGAAGACGACAATTTACCCTATCCCGATACAGAATACGAATACTTTGAACAGCGGCAGAATGTTAATAGGTCAGTGCAATCATTAATTCAAGTGTAATATAAAACGTTTTAAAGTATACATAAAGTTGAAGACATAAAATAAATTATTTCTATGACTATTATAGGTTAGCACCTGAACCCAAGTTACTACCTCAAGAGGAAGTGACGTATGCTGAGCCGGTGTTGATGCCTCAGCCACCAAAATTACACTCGCCAAAAGGCACAATGAGAAAACCACCGCCCACACCAGCGGAAACATTATTTCAATTTCCAGATGCCTACGGGTTTCGTGGTCCCAGAGACAATTTTGGCACCTTAAGGTCTCACCAAGGTGATGCGTATAGGCGTAATGATGGTTTCGCTACTACGCGTAGTGTGAAAAAAGTTTATCTCTGAGAAACGAGTGAGGAGGGAGGTGGCCGTCACAGAAGTCTAGGACGGCCAGGAAGAAATCGTCACAATGCAACAACAGGAAGAAATCGCGGCGTGACGTCAGGAGGACAATCGAGTCGTGAGTTGGCAGGTGCAAGAACACTTGAGTCGCCCTCGCCACCATCAAGTGTCTCGTCGAGTTCTCCATCGCCTCCCTCCTCGACACCATCACCTCCACCAGCTTTACTCCCAATGTCGATTAACGACGGATCACCGCCACCACCAACACCACCATGCAGTTTCATTTACCGGTCATAGTCTTCGCGAAACGGTACTACAACGTACGATATACTCGAAATGTACAGCCGTCACTCGGCATTTTTTTCAAGTTCACGAGTTATGTGCTTTTAATTATTTTTTTCCTATTACAACATAACTCGTGTGCTATTGAAAAAACATGTTTGAATTTCAATATTTTATAAATCATATAGACGTAATATCATCCATGTTTGAGATGGCGGCTATTGCACTTGACAGGGGAAACCAGTTTTTATCGAAATGCCTGGCTGATGTTTCATGTTACTCGGTCAACTGTGCGGCAAATAACATTTTTATATTTCTTTTGTTGTTTTTTTTTATTATTGCTATTAATTGACACATCAACTTTTAAACTAAAAATACTCAATTGATGCAGGAAGTGTTAACATTTTAATGATCGAGCATTATTTCGAGTATCGAAATGTTCTACCTGACTTAAATTGATGGTTAACTACTAATCAGCTCCACAATGGTACATCGAAAGCATGTACGAATAATTATCCCAGTGTGTTCGCGGGTTGTGTCGTACTCGACAGCATTCCGAGAAGTCCTTTTCAAAAACTCAAATGTTTTTTTGCTTGATGAAAATCATAGTTTGTAAGATATTTAAATTTGTGCTAATGAAATTTAATCGAATATGTAGCATAATATTTACGATTTATTCTAGTTAAATGTTAGTGATCTCCACTTTTTATTATTATTTTTATTTTATTTTTTTATAAGCATGTTAAATAATGCAATAATCAATTTATACACTTAAAAACTTGAATAAACTTTGTCCGCAGGCGAAAGTCAATAAGTCAATTAATGATTAATGTTTTGAGCAAATATACATTATTATTTTTAACTGTTTTCTATTCATGACAATGTAATTGTCAATGTGAATTTAAGTTACTAGTCGCTTATTTTCTCGAAATTTACTGTTATATCAGTCAAAAGCAGTAACGAAAAAATTCAAGAAAAATTAAATCTCCATAAATATATCCTTGTCATACATACCAAATATAGAGAGTAAAAGCCTGATTTATACATATTACTATATGTATAAAGAAACTCAATTTACTGTATGATAGCTAACATATACGTACATTTAATTACATTACTCTTCATCATCTTAAAACTCTGAAAATGATTGGAATTAGTCTTTAAATGAATCTCAACTTTTTTTTATATTAAATCTTATCTCCAAGAGACTTTGGATATTATATATTCAAAAAATGTTAGATTATTTGTTAATGATTGCATTTCTCAGAAAATTTATTAAATTATCTAAATTGATGTAAAGCTTTTTTTACTATACAAACTCAATATTTTTTTAATTTTCTTACCAGAAAGAAAAATAAAAGTTTAAAAACATTGAAAAAGAATTGTTCATAAAATGTGATTATAGGATTCTAAAACCCATATGCTACTTTTTAATTTACTTTTCAATTTTTATGTGATTTTTTTCACCAAATTATTTTTTGTCAAAGAAACAACTATACATTTAACTATGAACATTTGTAACTTAACTGAATAGTTATTCAACAATTGTAAAGATACTATGAAAGACTAAAAGCACATACCGTACTATATTTTAATGTTCTTTTAAAATGAAAATTTTAGTTTATTGTTGAAATGTGATAATTTAAAAATATTTTATTTTGTTATTTAATTTTAAACTTAGACTATCAAAATTATAATTTATTTCCAAATGACATTATGTAATTTTTTGTAATCATTACAAACTGATCACCAATTTTAAATATTCGTGATTTCTTCAATTTCGAAAAAATAAATAAATGTATTGATGTTTTAGCTATTACATGTATGAAACAAATCAATATCAGACTGACTTAAATCCAATCATTGATGGACGAAAAAAGAACCGAAATAAGTTGATGAAAAGTACCGCGGTAAAAAACAAATTTTTACCATCTTGTTATGTTATGTTACGCATGAAATTGTGGAGATCGCGACGTTATTTAAAAAATAAGTTACGATTGTCATTGATAACAATCGTAAATATACCAGTGTTAATATTGGAAGATAGCTGCCGTTAATTAACTTAGTGCACATCTCAACTTGTTAAAATTGCCGGTTTAGTTTAAGTTTGTTTGTACAATTCAGGAATACGCGCCTTGATACTCGCAAATATACGTAATGATTGAAGAGAAAACCAAAAATTTTTTTAAAAAATTAAAAAAAAATGAAAAAAAAAAAATTGTAAAAAAACTCAAGAGTATCAAGAAATAAAAGATACGGGATGTATGTATATAGGACATATTTAGACAACATATAAGGCAATTATAAAGTTATATGATTGCGATGGTTACAATAAAATTCAGTGCATCTATCTGCGAGACAGCCCAGGGGCGTGCATAGGAATCTATCGTAAAGTGCTTCTTATTTCAATGTGTTTAGAAGTAACGCGTATGTGATATAATCTATATGACGAGATATTTTCTAGACAATGAGTAAGAAAGGGATGAGAGCCGTGTTAAAGCATGCAAGCTCTCAATAACTTGATGAAGATAGACACACGCGATAACAAGCTCTTTTGTTCACAAAAATTTATATTTGGTGTTTATAAAAAAAATAAAAAAATGTTATGCCAATCACATTGAAACAAAACTCATTATAAATTATTTGTAATTGTATTTTGTGAATTTTAATTACTGTGCTGTTCACTAGCATGTAGTATTTTATAATCCAAATCTTGAAACAATTATTCGTGATAATGAAAAAATAATAAAAATTGTTTGAAAAAAAATGTGAAAAATTATTAAACTAATAGATTCACGAAAGAATCACCAAGAGTGCCACATTGGATGTGAATAAAAGTTGATCAAGAATTCTCAAGTTAATTAGGGTAATCTAAATGTCTTTTCAGAATAGTTAGTTCAAAGTTTCTGCTGTTAATACATGTATTTTCAATGATAGACATTCATTCCTACATTTATACAAATATATTAAAATTGAATAAAAATTGGTAAAAATTATTTATAAGCAGAAATGAAATATTTATTATTATCATTATTATTATCGTAAAAAGAAAACAATTGTCTTTGTGAACAATCGAACTTGAATTATGCTCGACTCTTACACGCACATTTCACACACAATTTGACTACGGTGGTTTCAATTTTTATTGGAGTATTTCATTGAGTGATATTTGATTGAAAAATCGATCTAATTGAATGATTAAAACGAATGAATGTTTGTTATTTAAAAAATTTCCCTCAAATGCAAAGACTGAAAGACCCTTAAACCAAACAAACATTCATTTGTTTATAATTGTTATTGTATCTATTGAACAATCACATCTATGTACGATACTTTCTTTTTTACCAATAGTACAAATTTTTTAACTTGTTATTTACTATTAAGTTCAGAATGCATTTTTAATCAAGCTCAGATCATCAAGTTGTGTCTATAATGTATCATTTAGATGTTTAAAAGAATCTGGAAAAATATTGTCTTGTAAAAATAAGAATTCAAAACAATTCATTGAAAAAAAAAAACAAAAATACGAAACACAAAACAAATTTAAAAAAAAAATTATAATTAATTGTTAATAACAACGGTGAATATTATAAGAATGATGTATTTGTATAAAATAGTAGTGACCTAAACCGTTTTAAGTCAGCCTGAAGTAATTTGTATACGAAATATGTAAATTATAATCACGATATTAATCGTCTTATGAAAAATTCATTTACCAAGCAAACGATTTTCTAAAAATAATTTTGTAAAGCGTTGAAACTTGATTGAAGTTTTATAATTATTATTCAAAGTGGAGTACAATTCATTGATTCCATATTTAACATTTATTACAAATGTCATTGTAAGTATCAAAACATTGGACAATGTCACTTGTATAAAATAATCGAAACCATTAAAATGCTAGATTTCATTAAAAATTCCACTAAAATCACTGCTTGATATCATAGAAATAAAATTTATATTAATCATAAAATCGTACTTAAATTATTTTCAGGAATATCTCTAAAATTATCCGTCGCAAACATATCAATAAATTTTTATTACGCAATTAAAAGTTATTGAATAAATCAAGCTCATATATCGCAATAATAAGTAAAATACAAGTTTTTATTTGGCATAAATTTTAATAATTAATTAAATACATAACAATTAATTTATTAAAAGAAAATTCAAACAAACGTGTAGATTAATTACAATTGATGATAAGAAGTAAATTACAGAATGTTTATTTGGTAAATGAAATTTTTAAAAGCTCCATAATACAACTGAGGTTAATTCAATTGATAAATCACTTTTTAAAAAATAACTCAGGCATGATACCAAAGATATTAATTGTAAAATAGACACCGTTGGTCATTGTGATGATTTATTGTTAGAGTCGCACAAATTGGTATTAAATATCGATAAGAAAGTGATCCCTTGCACAATTAACAACAAAAAAAAATAATTACAGTCGATTGCTACTTACACATATATTCATATGACAAGCACAAATCAATTAAATGGAAGGTCCATGTTATTAACAAGTTTTTAATTATCATGTTGATGACTCACTAGTTGGGGGACACTTGCTTCAAATGATAAATTGTGCTAACATTGGAATAAAATGATGCTTGTTGCCAAATTTTATTGATACGAGTTTTCAATAATTTTCTTTTAATGTTAATTAAATAAGGAAATCATGTACTAAAACAAAAAAAACCATCATTGATACCAGCATTAATTATTATATTTATAATATTTAATCGTAATATTATAATAATACTCTTTCAATAAAATATAGCTTATTAATGTGCACCATTTTATTCCAATATTTTTTCTGGAGTTATATGTCTATGTATTTATAGAGAGATTTAGTCGATTATTACAATTATATGATATGGAGATGAAAAAAATAGATTTTAGCTCCTTTTTCTTATCGGGAGCTTCTAAAATTACATTAATATGTATGGCGTGTCGTTGATGAACGGGATTTTAGCTATAAATAGGGGGGATAGAAATGATATGTAGAGTCGCTTGAAACGTATATTAAAATTATAACTTTTTATAAATATATTTTTCCGTCGAAGTTTAGCCTAAGTAGAGATCATACACGATTATAATAATTAATTTATCTGATCTGAATATTAATGATATATAGTGTTAACTCATCATTTTAGGCGTCATAGTTTTATAAGTTAGGCAAGTTGTATGAAATGTATAAGACATTTGAAACAAAAAAATACAATTAGTACCTAAAGTTAGAATTAATGATTAGAGTTGAAAACACGAAGGAAAGTTTTCTTGCAAACGTGTAATAGAATCCATTTTAAATTTTCATTTAATGCTTTTTAACTAATCGTGTAAAGACATTATTTTATATTTTCATAAGAACAAAAAAAAAAATTTTTCACTTTCATCTATCAATACTAGAAATAAATTCTTCCTTAACTTGTATTAAGGTGCCATTTAACTCCATTTAATCTATTTCTAATGACTAAAATTAACATTTAGACTGTTTAATCAATTGCAATAGAACTTTCTTCTGTGGTTGTAATTAAAATAAAATAACTAAAAAAATTAAAGAAATAATTAAACAATACACATTTGCCTACGAAAACGATGTTTGGCAAAAACGTTGATGTTTTTTCCTATGGGAGGTTTCATAAGCCCCTTTTTTTATGAAAATAGGGCTGAAAAATTATTAATACTAATAATAATAACGATAGTAATAGTAGTAATAATAATAATGACTATTATTATTATTATAATAACTTTACTGGTAATAATATGGATGAGGAGCAAAGAAAAAATGATAAAAGAATTTTTAAAAAATAGTAAATCATTCGTCAACGATAAATAATGAGAATGTAATGTGTATTTTGCTTCTTCCTAATACAGTGCCGTTTATGCTATTTTTTACTGTAACTATTAGACCGGACTGATTAAGTCCTAGCTACATGTGTTATATAATGTTGAAAGATCAGCCATGTGTAATTAATGAATGATATCTCGAATTCGACTCTGAACAAATAATATAAATCCGATAAACCTTACAATGGTATAATTTTTAAAAAAATGTTTCTATTTAATAAGTTAGGAATTGTTTTTTATTAATTAGTCATAAAATTAGATTGAAATAAATGGATTAAACAAATGTACTATTTTATTAATAACAATAATTTGTATTCTACTTAGCCAGTAAATCATTGTAAGGTTTGATTGCAAATATAAAAGTTCAGAGCCGCTATTTGGGGCCTTGAATTGAGCATAAAGTGCGTGTATTTCGCATTCAAAAACTAAAAAAAAAAAATATAAATTTTAATTAACAAAAATTCCAACGTGCACAATTATGTGTTCGCATGTTGACTTGTTCGTTTATACGTCTGATGATCGTATTAAATAGTGGCGTGACATTAAAGAAAAAAGATTAAATAAATCCATTTATGGAAGTATATAATGATTGCCGCTAATTATATTACATATAATGACGTAAAAATTATATTATACAGTACTATTTATAAACACGAGGTAAAACGAAAAAACGACGCAAAACAAGTAGTTGGCAGTAGGCTGAGGTAGAGACATGGCACGTTTATTACTAATACAAAAAAAAATAATTAAATAAATACAGTAAAAATATCATATGCGAAAGAATACAGTAGTGATTTACTGTGGCTGATATAGAGTGAATGCTGACATAGGAAGCATATTGACAAGGCATAGTGGGACATGAGAGTGCTAAAATCGCTTCAGGGTTGCTTTATATATGAAATTATTATTTCCGAATTTAAATGAATATATTTATTTAAAAGTAATAAACAATAAAAGAAAAAATCAATACTACTCATGATGATAATTTTAAATCTTTTCACATAATTCATAATCAAATGAATTTTTGCGAAACATTCCAATTTAAAAAATACCTTCGGAAATAACTCATTTTATATATCACAAGCTGATATTTTTAATAGAAAAAAATGTCAAATAATATTTCTCTACTCTATAGTTATTTATGCTTCATTTTTTAAATGATAACAATTTATATTTCATATTTTCATCATAATCATTCGACTCGTGATGTAATACTGCCTCTGCTTGACCGAACATTTATATATTGCAAACAATTATTGTAACATCAATTTTTTGTTTGACAACAAAACTATTTGAAATCATAGTAAACAAAAAAGAAATACCAAAAATGAATGAAATATACAAAAAATGCGCACATCACTACAAATGAAAATATGACATTTTAAGCTAACCATTGACGATTTCAATGATTCATTGTATAATCATAATGGTGCGCTTGGTACTTATAGAGTTGGTATTAATTTTTAGGGCGAGTTTTTACTTGAATAAGGTTCTACCAAAAAGTACGGCGTGTGTGTAATCGCAAGAGAGAGCAGTAAGCAAGTTATGAGAGCGAGAGGGAATTTAAAAAAAAGTACGAAAGCGATAGTGATTTAAAAATAAAATGGAATGATTGTAAAAGTCGGATAAAATAATTTTACCGACGAACTGCTGTTTATAGTGCCCTGTTATAGCGGGTTCCCTGGGCAGAGATGCAGAGAAGAATGAATTTAAATGTTTTCGTCCATCACCTAGAGTATTTGATGCTGATTACAATGAACGAGCGAACCGAGCCAATTTTTAGAAATGTAATAAAAAATGAAAATGATTAGACGTGTAATAGAAATCGTAATAAATTGGTTTAATAATCAAAAGTTATTAGAACCAAAATCTCTATACGAGTTTGTTAAATGAATTACACGAGATATCATATTTCTATCATGAATACATTGCTTGGACTCGTTTGTTCTTTTGATCTTCGATGTTATTTAGACATGCTGTAGTTATTAAAAAATTTTCAATCATTGAGTTCTCAGCCCTCTGCCTACGGAATCCTATTCTATTTTTCAGAATACGCTATTGTGATTATTACTATATGATAAACATTTAAAAAAAAAGAAAAAAGTAAAACAACAAAAAATACCTGTAGTATTGTTTATCAATTATTACGACATTTATTATTTATAATGTTAATAACCTGTATTAACAATAATTACTGCATTATACCATTATTATATTTAGTACTATTAGAGAGTGAGGCTGCTATCGTATTAATGAATTAAGTACAATATATACAATTAATTCATTAGACTTTATATACAAATATATATACATTACCAATCATACTCTTGCATCACTATGTTTTATAATTTAGCATTATTCACAAATTCAATCATCATACAATTGCCTTTTATCTCTCATTAATTTTCATATTTTAATCGCTATTTCATGCGATAACTTGCATTTGTTTTGTACCCATTATGCATTTTACTATGATGTTATTTTATAAAAATCAATATAGAATATAGATTGTACTATGAAATATTAAGTCAAAATAAATTTGATTAGGTAATAAAATTATTTACGAAATCATTTAATATTGACCTCTATTACCTATCCTATCGTCATTTAGATAAGCAATATATTTTTTCATTTAATTATTAAACGTCTAATAATATTTATTTATTAATTAGCTTTAATCAATAATCAGTACTCACCGCTCATAATTTGTTTTGTTAACTTGTATATTGAACAGCCTAGTCCATTCCAATGACTTTGCACATAATTACACAAAAACAAAAACACCATACTGAACAAAACTAGGTTCACGTAAATTAATAATGACACCAAACTTTTAAAACAATTATTCAAAATGGATTTCACTAAAGTTTAAATGTATAGTAACACAAGTTTACTAAATAGTTTATCTATATATAAAATACTATACACACCACTTAATAATTGAAGCAAAATATTTAACAATTTAACAAAAAAAAAATATTGTGAAAGCTCAACTCTACTAGAATTGCATCGATTATGAAATCGATTAACTATGCATTTGATCTCCCTCCCCCCTTTTCTTTTTGCACTTAATTGTACGCAGTAACTAATAACCTTGAAAATATTGTCATTTTAATAGGCTTATTTTTAAAAATCTTTAAATAGTTTTTCTCCAATTATGGATAAATACATTTTTGGAGTAAATATATTGTAACGCTAAGATTTAAAAATCGATAGATAACTTTTTGTTGGACATATTAAATAATAATTTTATACTAAACTTTAAATAATTCTCATTTATTTATTCATCATTTGTTTTAGGCATTACTTGTTGATTTTATGCAATATTTGCTACAGAAAAGAATCTACCGACTTAAATATCTCAGTGTTACGATTAATGTATCAAATATTACACATTTGTAGACATTACCATTTTAATTTCAATATTTTTCCTTAATTTACTCATAAGTTTCATTATTTTTGGAGCAACAATCTTTCTACAGCGTCTGATAGCGTCTGTTCTTTAGCGTCTGTTTTGGGCATTTTCTAGAAGCTTTTGGCCACTGCGCATGTTTCTGCGCAGAAAAAATGAAAGTTATCGGAATGGGAAGGATCGAGCTTTCGCTTTCAATCGATTTAAAATTCGATTCAATTCGATTAATTGTTTATCATTCAGTTATGATGTTGAATGTTCAATTATATGTTTCTTTTCAATTTTATTTAATTATTTAATTTTTCAATCTAATAATCAAAGTAAATGTTTTTTTAAACTTTTTCCATGTATAAACAATACAATAAACAACATCAATGAAGAGGTTATTTTTAACATGTGGATTTGATAAATTAAGTTGTGTTTATGAGTGCTATTTTGGAATTGATCGATTGAACAATGTCTACTTTGTTAAATGTATGAAAAACTTTACATATCAGTTTTATTTATTTGTCATTAACATTATTAATTTTTATTTTCCATTAATCTTCTTTTCAGTGATTTTGTTCGACATTTGTACCACAATAACAAATGTACTTCTTATTTGCATCATGAGTTTGGGTTTGATCACCATTGATTATAATCTCTATTATATAATCTTGGACTGAATAAGCTGTCATTTGGTTTTTTTAAGGTAAAGGAAACATTAATATCTAATTTACTTTACAATTTTTAATTTTTTATCATTGTGAAAAAATTTTTATTAAAATTACTCATTTATTGCTCTAAAAACAAATAATAATGTAAAGTAGCTGAAATCTATAATAATTTTTTATTATTTTTAAGTACTAAACAATTTTATTTTGAAACTGTTAAACTGTTTGGCAGCATAGAAGTGTATGGTCGTAATAGAGGATCAGGAGATATCTTTTGCTGTTTAGGAATCTTCTCTACATTTAGCAGGCAAATTTCTTGATTAGACCTGCAATGATTAATGAAATATTTTTTTAAGGTCCCATAATAAATGGGAATAGAATATACGGAAAAATAATTTATACAGCGAAAAATGGACCTGTATACTTACATTGTACTTTCTCTAGATTGGTCGTAAGTTTCTTTTTGATCCCTAGTGGCAAAATAGACAATACCACAAATACCTTCCTCTGGTAAAATTCCATTGTATACCAATAAGTCATCTACGAGAATCTAAAATATTTCATTGATATAATTATAATGACCAGAACAAATTTTATTATTATCAAACAACTACTAAGAGGTACGTACACCGAATTCTTTAACTTTTCTTTCACGTGTTTTCATATAATTCCAGATTTTTATCATCGAAATGGTTACTGGATAATCAAAAACGACATAAACGCGATTAAGCTAAAAAGCAAAAAAAAAATATGAATAATAATGTATAAGTAAAGTAAGATTTATATGATAAAAATTGTTTAAAACTTTGAATAATTTACTTGTTTCGGTAAAATTGGAGCAAGCCATGAATGTGAGCCATCAATGCAATCATTAACTCCATCAACTAATTTATCAGGTGTTCTAATATCATTCTCTATTCCTTCTATCACATTTACGCTCTCAGGATAAGCAGCAATATCTAAAAAGAAATTCATAAATTAACATAAATTCATAATAAATTTTTACTCATAATAAAAACAACTAACTAACAAATAAAAAAATTGATGTGAAAAATTTAAGTTTGAAATATTTTTTCTCAAAGCTCAAGTATTGGATAAAAAACCAATACTGCTATTAGCTGTTTTCATATAACACCAGTTTTTTTATAGATATTTGTTATTATTTTTATTCTGAGTAATTACATATATTAAAATTTTAAAATACACTTATACATGCATATATTTGTTATTTGTGCATATATATACATAGAAGTGTACATAATTTGTAACAATTACTTTTTTTCATTAATCGTATTGGTTCATTGTTTTCGTCAAATAATTCAATACCATTTAAACCAACATAATAAGGGTCTCCCCAAGTTGAGAATATTACAAACTGATATACGAAGCCTTGAGGGATTAGTGGTGATTCGTAATCCTCACTATTGAGTGCATCTGAAATTTATTAGATAATCATAAATCCTCTCAGAACATTAAAAACTATCTTGTTTATGATATCTTATCATATCATAATGCAATATCATGTTTTAACTTATTTTTAAGTAATATACCTCTCCATAATTTGGTAGAAGCTTCTTTAGAAGTTGCTAACTCTGATGGTAGCGTACTGCAACTGAAATTGGCATTATATTTTGCATCACTTGGCATATCAGTAAAAGTTATTCGTTGAGAAAAATCGTAATGACATGATCCTGGTGCTCTTCTTAAAATATAAGTTTTCGTATTATCTTCAAAAATATTTTCTCCATCTATTTCAATACCAAGTTGTTTTACCTAAGATTGTAAAAAGATTTATCATTAAAATAACAAGATAAAAATTATAAATATATATGTATTTAATATGTAATAAAAGTATTAATCATATGTGATTCATACTCCTCCATAAGAACCTTCGAGAGAAGAATTAAAGTTCCAAAATATTATTCCCATAACAAATACTTTTGAATCAAATTTAATAGTAATTGTTGGAATAGTTTGATAATTAATATCAGTTTTCCACATCAAGTTTGGATCAGTGGTCAAAAAATTTCCATCAATAAGACGTTGAACTTCTTCATCGTTTACATTGCTGGTCAAAGAAATTTGTGATCTGGCAATTTTCGTACCATGATCACCTATTAGCTCAATCCCATTTAATCCTGCAATCATATAAACCAGTTCTAATATCGTCATTAGAATATTATCTAAACAAATACATAGCAAACTCTTCTAAAGTTAGATAACACTTATAGTACTGCTAATTACACATAATTTTACAGATTATTATAACCAATTCTCATAACGAGTCCATTAAGAGGTTCAACTTCGTACAAACATATTTTTAATGACTGTTGAATACAAATAGTCTAACAAACGTTTATTTTGATACGTTAATAGAAGAAAATTTGCAAAGAAAGCACACGCTTATTACCTACTACAACATACAATAACTCTTTCATCATGTTATTCATACTTACCAATTATCTCAAAAGAACCCCAATTACTTAATAAAAATAATTTAATTTCTTTACATGAGATGGACATATTTTTATCACTACTTCCACTATAAGATTGATTATCATTGATGCATTGACTAATGTGTAGTTCGTTCTGTAAATTACACAGTCTACTCAAATTCATTCAATATCTACAAGCAAGGATAAAAAATTTAAACTTATGTAATGACATTAAATGCTTACATTTTTATCGGAGTCACCAGTTATTGGCCTATCTATTTCTCTTTGATCATTATTGGTTTCTTCGTTCAATAATTCATTAAATGTCTTATCGTACTTTAAAATTGATTCTAAAATTTTTTCATCAGTCGTAAACAAAATCGTCTAAAATATTTGTATTTATTAATTAAAATAGTTAAGTTAATCATGTAAATTGTGGTGGTTATGACATACATCACCGTAAGAATTGATATCTGCTGAAATATCTCCAGAGGCTTTGGCAATATCACCATCAAAAATTACTATATTATCTAATTTCATTACAATTCTTTTGGCACCTCGACATGAATGAATTCGTGATTTATTATAATTCTGAAAGAACATTGTTCATGAGATTATGATTCTTCTCTTTTTCTTTCTATTCATTCTTATGATTAGTTATTGTCAGTGATTGATACAACAAAAGATATTGTAAAAGAAATATTGTTTTGATTACCCAGATTCGAATTAAACCAATATAAATATTTTTTGAAAAGACCATAGAAATATAATGATGATTTCCATTTACGAATGGAACTAACCACATGTCTGAATCATTTTTAGTTCGGTAAACTCCATTTATCAAATTATTAATAGAATAATTTCTCGAACTGGATAAAAAATTTCCTTTAGAGCTATTTGAAGTGTAAGAAATCTGTAAAATAAAAATATTCACGACATAATTTATTATTTAAAAAATAGTACACAATTAAGTATATACTATCATTAAATAGCTTAGATCAAATCTAATTGAATTTGATTATTAATTAAGGCATTGGTTTCAGATTCAATCAGAATTGATAATATCAGATTAAAAATGTCTAAATCACACTGTATCAGCTTGTGATTGAATCTGATAATTATCAATTTAATTATCTACATTCGATCACTTGTGATGATGCTTAAGCTAATGCGATATCATGATTTTGTTCAACAAATTATCATGATTGTAATTATCATCCATTTTTGATAGAAATGATATTGATAAATATAATGAATACCGTTGAAATTGATGGTGGTTCTCCAGTTGAAGAGAAAATTTCAATACCGTTAAGACCAACAAATTCTTTGTCACCCCATGTAGATAAAATATCTATTACTAAACGTTGACCAAATGGTAATTCTGGAACTATAAAATCACTAGGTTCTCGTATACTATCTGAAATGACCGTTTTAAATTATTTGGTTTTTATAAATTAAAAAAAATTAATCTGAATTTCTTAGAAATCAACGATCAATTGACAAATTATGTAATTCTTTTTATTTATGAAAAAATAAGGAAAATTTATATTTAAAAATTATCTTACTTCTTGGCGAATTGAAAAAATCATCAATTTTTTCACTAGACGGATAACTTGATTTTTGTATTTCTGTCTCTAATGAATCTAAGCTTAATTTCTTCATTTCATCAGATAAAAAGAAATCAATGCTCGACTTCCTTTTTTCAGATACTAAAGAAGAAGATTCTTGATTGTGTTTCATTAATAAATCATCTTCCAATCGTGTACTAAATTCATCTGAACTCTTGTCTGAAGACAAAAAATCAAATTGCAATGAACTGTTAAACTTGCTCCGTTTTTCTAATAAAGATGCTGATATGCAATTGCTTCCTTTTATTCTAGCGGTAACTTCTTTTTTCATCTCTTCCTCATATTCTTTCTCTTTTTCATCAAAATCAAATTTATCTTTATCATAGGTCTTGGCTCTTCGACCACTTTTTTTTCTGAATTTACTTTTCATCATTATTGGGGAACCTGGTATTACCATTTCGACAGGTAGTGATTTAAATGGTTCATCATCTAGCTTTCTTGCATTTCTAGAAAATATTTTTTCTGCTTTATAGATCAATATTTGATAGTATTATTAAAGCAAAGTTAGATTAATATATATGTCCTGTTACACTAAACTTCATTTATATAATTTTATAATTTTAAAACTGGTTAATGTATTCAAACAATAAAAGTCCTAATGAGTACTTGGAAAGTAATCCCTTTAATTCTTCATATAATCATTAAATTACAATGCTAATTAAATAAATTACTTACTCTGTCATTTCCGCCAACCATGATGGGATTTTTTTTTCATCCTTAGATAAGTTAGAAGATTTAAGAATTTCATCTGAACTTTCCTCCATGTTGTAATAATATTTACACATTAATTAAATTTGGATACTTAATGAAAATTAACACACTTTTTTTTTAAACCCTTTGGCAACCCATTTCCAAACAATAAAATAACTTAACATAAATTAATAATGAATAAAAACAAATCCGAATTATTAGACTCTTACACCATTATTTAAATATTTTCCATAAATAAATATTTTTGAATTTCTGTGTCAACTCCACACACTCATGTTGCGTTGCAATAATAAACATCTATTCAGGAGTTTCTTAATGGAGCACGTTTGTTGATGAAATCGTTGCCATGGTTACGAATTCAGTGTCAATGTTTTTTTCTGTACTCTGTATTTATGATTGTACTAGTATTTCTATTTATATATTTCGTACATGCTAGAATATAAATGAATATAATAGAAATAAAATAAACAATGCAAGTTATATTTGGTTCAATAGCTTGTCTCAGCCAACAATAGTTAACATAAAAGAATACAGTAACATAAATTTAAACGAACTAATACAACAATTAGTTCGTACCAGATCTTTTAAAAAGAATTTCCGTAATATTTAAATTGTAAAAAATATTTGCAACATAATAAAATGAATCATTCGATAATCTCACCTACGTGTTATTTTACCCATAGTAACTGATTATTATTCTGTCAGAAACATTGGAAGTCATAAATGGATGATAATGAAAGTAACTACATATTTAAATCAATAGTCAGTATTAATTTAGAATTTACAATTAAATAAATTTTTGTACAATCGATATGGCAGTATAGTACCAATAATTATAATTCATTTTAATAAATGTAAAACATAAACACATACATTTTTAATTAAAATTAAATTTATAACAACATATTCATTTTTTGAACATAAAATTCACAGCAAACATTACAATTTTAATTTTTCAATGCCATAATAAAGCTTTATCATATTATGCTGATAGGATTAACTTATATATTTAAGCCTTTTTTTAAAATGTAAACAAGTTGTTAGTTATCTAACTAAAATCGTAAATTCGTTAAATTAAATAAAATGTGGTTCACCGTTATTTGGAGATAAATTTTGTAAATTAGTCAATTTTTTTGTTTAAATAATTTTTTCATATGTAGGCCTCTATTATTAATCATTAATACTATCAATATACTTTGAAATAAATAACAGAAAATAGAATGGCATTATTGTAATTATCACGGAAAATATACATAATAAAATGATAATGAAAAACCATACTCTCTGCACTTTTTACATAATTATTATGACAAAATTTATGTATATTTGCAAATTTATTGCATTTTGGCACTTTTCTCGTTAATTTATAATTATAATCCTTTGGAATAAAAGAGAATAAATAATTCATAAACTAGGGTTATTATCTTTCGAACGAAAAAGAAATTTTTTGATGAATATTATGATTTTCCAATTCAATTGCACTACGACCATTGCCTGAATTTGATCTTATCTACGTAATTGGTAGTTTTTTTCGAATTATGTATCAGGTACTCAATTATTTACAATAATTATTATCATCTACCCAATTAAATAGTTATAAACTCGTTTATTTTTCCCTGTTTATAACATTTTTCTTCGTGAATTTAAAATAAATAAATCTTCATTTTCAATAAATTTCTATCAATTTAATTGAAATTTTTTGTTATTCAATATGAATAAAAATAATAATAAAAATTATAGGTTTCTCAATTACTTTAGAATTTGCTCCAGAAAAAGTGCCTAAAAATGTTTTTTATCATCATTACTAATGTTTCATATATAACAATGAAAACAATTCTATATAAGATTAACGAGATGTCATGAAAATCGACAATAGTTAGTATAATAAGTAAGGAGAATAATCTTACAATTGATTTAATGTCAGAAATTCTATAGTTTAGTGTAAAAATTATCACATTCTCATTTTTCTAGAATTACCCTTAGTTTTCATATTCGAATTTCCATCATGGAAAAATTTTATCAAATGTCTAGAGTACCTTACTATTCGATATTTTTATCAAATAATATCTAATGTCCTAGAAATACTAATATTTTTGACGTATTGATTCCAGTAGAAACCCTAACTTGATTAGAATTCATAGTGTTTTGTCAAACTATTCCACTTATTTGGAATCCCAAAACACTACCATTATTTATGAGAATATTTTCATCATAAAATATAATACCTACGTAAAATTTACATAAATCCTTAGAAAATATCATAATCAACTATAACATAATCCGATTAGATTGCATCCCACTAGAGTTAAAGCTCAATAGGTCTGTTGAGAAGATTTGTCGTTACAGGTGTAGAATCTGCGGTAACCGCTGGGTATAAGTGGTTTAATATTGCATAGTAGTGAAATCCAGCTGCTACAGTAACGAATACATGCCAAATAGCATGGGCAAATGGTATACGTCCGTCAGATTTGAAAAAAATTATTCCTGCTATATATATGAATCCACCAGTCTTCAATTCTCTAATATTATCAAATTTATTCTGAAAGTAAACAAATCAGTATTTAATTAAAAGTATTGCGTTTAGTTTTTTTGGAATGTTTTGTACTTACCACTGTCATTACAGCGATACTTGGGCTAACTCCCATGACTAGATAAAAAATAGTTTCTAGCATCTTATATTTCTCATGGAACATTTGCTGATAGAGAATCCCAACAACAGCCATAACCCAAACCAAATATCGCATGGTTGGAATTATGTCGTTATCTGGAAAATCTTCTACCATCAACCACGGAAAATATGTGGCAGCTATAAAAACGTATATCATAGCTCGATCACAACGATGAAGTACGTCTTTTAGTTGTCTAAAAAATGGACAAAAAATTTATATTTTAAATTTTAATAAATCGTTAGATAGTCATCATCAATATCAGCAAAAATTTTTAAACAACAAATTGAATACAAAGTAATTAATGGTTATCAGTGTTATCTGTTTACTCAATAATTAAAAGATATTTCAAAAGAATATAAATCAATTCATTTTCAGTCGAGTGATAAAATTTTTAAATTTAATTAAAGTATTATGCATGAGCATCCTAAGGTACATGAATTTTAATAAAAATTTTTATTTAATTAAAATTATTGATTGGAAATTTTTTTAATAAAGACAATCTATGTACCAATCTGTGAGAAAATATTCAACTATTTATATTGTAAATAATCTGATGACTATTGAGTGTGAGAAATTCATTATTCAGTTCAATGCTAATAAAAAAAATGACAATTACAGTGCGAAAATTTTCCGACCTTGTTAATTATTAGTAAAGTTGCTCCACATATAAAAATGGAATTACATTATTTATATAATTTATATATAATAAAGAGGAAACTCAAAATTACTTGTGATTGCGATAATGCACACAATGGAATGAAGTAGATATCACAAATAAAAGTAATAAAGCGCCTCCATAAACCCATGCTGAAGAGAGCTGAGGCCAAGATGTTGATCGTTGAATTAGCTCTGCTGCTCCCAACAAAGCAGGAACGATCCAAATTCCATGGGTCATTATATTTGCTAGATGCTCTATATAGGTTGGAACATAAGCTTCGTTTGATCTTGCTCGAGGATTCATCCATTTTATTCTGTAGAGATATAATTATTAATTAATATTTTCATATTATTTAATTAATCTTATTTGAGATGATGAATAATTACTTTTATTAATTTGAATAAATTAAATCACAATGCATTATGTTTCTGATCCAATTGAAAATAGCTACATGATTTTCAATTAATACTATTCAGACAACATTTTACAATCCAATGTCAGACAATAAATATAATGAAGTGTTTAGTAGAGAATGTATTTTATTTATAAAAATAACTAAAAAAAAAAGATTCATAAAAATAGAAAAAAGTTGTACAGAACAAAAAAAAATATTGATTAAGTCTTTAAAAGATTTTCTAAATGGATTGACACTGAATTGTTTGATATTTATTTAGAAGATAAATGTTAGCTTTGCTTGAATGGTTTTAACGATAATTGAAATATTGATTTCATTCGTGATACACATGTTTGTGAAAAATATCTATATCGAAAATGATTTCTTGTCTAAACTATTAGCAATTCAAGCAATAAAATCGGTGCTTCTTAAGCAATAACAAAAGAATATACTTCAGCATATCATTTATTATGCAAGCAACATGTTAACTTGTTTTTTTTTTTTATTTTTGAAATAAAGCAGCACAGGAAATTTGAGATGTTGAACTTAGAAACTTGAATATTTTAACCACATAAAATCGTGTTATATAAGTCATTATCTGACCTTTAGTACATAAGCCTTTAACAAAAATGTTATCTAATGCTACAATAAATCTATAAATCCATTAAATGGTTTAACGTGAATTACTTTTCAAATTTAATATACTTTTTTTTATGAACTTTTGAATTTCATTAATTTTTATCATTTACAAGCAGAATTAACTTTAAATTAATTGATAAAATTCTAATATTAGCTGACAATATTAATAAAGACTATTTGATGATTTTAATTAAACAATTTGTCGATTACATGGATTGATAGAAAAAATATATTTTCAGTAGATAACAACAAATTTTTCAAAGTCAAAATTCACACAATTAAAAATAACAGAATTTTAGAATCAGATTAGTGGAAATTAAATTAACTAATTTAATTGATAGTACACTAGAGATTGTAAGTTAATGAAAATGTACTAATTTACGTTAATTTTCACTCAGTTAAGTTTAGAGAGTAATCTTGTAACTCGTTTATTCCAAACATTCATTTTCGAGAACAAATTTTCAATTGTTATCAACAATCCAATTAATTAATTAAACAATTTAAAGTACATTACTCTGTATGACCTTTGAAGATCAAATTTATAAAAGTTTTTAAATAATTGAAGTTTCAATTAAAAAAAAGGTCAGAAAACTATTTTATATCTCAATTTAAATTGATGTCCCTTTATTGAAAGTAATTTGAAATTATTTAAACTCATCACTCATGCATCGAATGAATTTATGAATAAAAATATACGATATGGTATGCAGACGATCGAATGAACCCGATAAATATCTTACTCTCGAAATCGATGTAATCGTTGAAGATTCTTAAAAGGTGCCACGATGAATTGATGAAGGTAGGGTCCATCCATAGTGCACTGATATTTATAATTGAGTGATAATATATTATTAAAAAATGTCAAGCAGAAATATTTAAAAATAAAATTGCTTGTAGATATTAAAAAATAGTATTTACAAAAAAATTAAAAATTTTCTGAATAACAGGTATTCTTTAAAATATTCTTTAAAAAATGCTCTGAAATTGATAATAAAAAAAAATAACTCATATTTTCACTGAATAAAATTGCATTTGTAGTGTGTGCTGCAATTATTGCGTTTTTTTGAAATTACATTCTTATCAAATATACTCTTTATAAGAAAATTAAGTTTTAAATATAAATAGTAAAACGTACATGATAAACATTAATACAAAACCAGTGGTTTATTTGACAAAATAAACGGCAAAAAAAGGATATAATTAATTGTAATAATTTATTATTTTCTTACTTTTAAAGCTTATAGAAAAATGTCATAAAAGATCAAATAACATATAAAAATTGTAAAAAAAAACAGATCAGAGGTGGACAACCTTTGCTTCCTTGATTGCATGTATTTTCATTGGCGTAAGTGACAGACACTTTGGAGCCCATTTAAATTCTGCATGAATTTGTCATTCTTAGCTTCAAAAAATCAAAAGTTGTCTAACTCTTATGAATTATGAAATGTGCAAGAAATTAATTGTTCATAGGTATTAACATACCTCTATGCGTTTAATTTATATAATATTAACAATATATTATATTTTATATCTTATAAACCTAAGCACATACAGGCATTATGCCTTGAAAATTACTTGAGGATGTTGAAATGCGTCAATATTACTTGATGAGTACTAACTATGAAAGCACACACTACCTCACTGCGTTCAAAGTAAAGAGCAAAACTGAGCAACGATTATTCAGTACGTTATGTATTTGTTCCATTCTTTATACCCCTCTTTCGAAATTATTCTTTCATTATATCCATTTCTACTAATAATATCAGAGAATACAGAAGGGGAAAACTAACCTCTATTGATTTTTTGCATTGGTTTGGCATCTTTTTATTCACTGTTGGTAACTCAATTGACGTTTATTTGCCCACATTATTTTCAAAATAATAAATTACTATTGAACTTGAATGATTTTAATCAGTACAATTAAAATGATCTATTATTTTTTATTAAAATTCATAGTTTTATTATGAACGTAATTTTCAAGATTAAAGTTGGAGCGTAAATTAATTCGTAATAAAAATTCTTGTTTTTTAATTCTACGTTTAAATATTTATTAAATGTTTTTTATCGCTATAAAAAATTATTTTAAAAGATTTTTCAAGATTTTTAAAGAAGAATATTTATGATATTTGTATGTTTTTTTAGCGAAACAATCACTTACTTTTTTAGATAATTTAAAAAACCTCAACATTATACAAGTTTCCGTGGTGTAGCGGTTATCACATCTGCCTAACACGCAGAAGGTCCCCGGTTCGATCCCGGGCGGAAACAATTTTTTTCATTATTTACTCTATTTTTAGTTTATTTTTTTTTTGTTTTTATGATATCAAATTGAATCTATAAATATTTTAGTTCCATAATTTTTTAGTAGAAAAATTAATATTCAGCAACAAATACAATATACATTGAATAGTGCAAGTAATTTAAATATTTCGCGCCAAAAATACCAACTAAAGATAATTAAAATATTTGTAGGATCTTCAGCTCTCTTTGTTATCATTTATCTATAGTGAACGGAGTAAAAGTTTATGTACAATATATCATATTGTAACACCTATATATTTTCAGATCTCTATATCAAAGTACATATACATGTATGTATACATATTGCGCGCATTAGTGCAAAATCAGAAGCTAAAATAAAGTTATTACGCGCTTTGATTAATCTCCAGTATACAACGTAGTAGTCCAGAGCAAAATTCCACAAGAACGGTAAAAATAAATAGCAAGAAAAACAGCATTAAATACTGGTAAATACCATAGAAAATAGATTAAAATATTCTAACCAACATTTTCTATTTACATTTAAATTTTATTTTAATACTGTCTACACCCACGCCCGACCTTTTAAGCCAATACTTCGCTTTAACTTGAATTACTCATTCAAAAATGATAGAAAAAATGTTTATACTACTCATCTAAAGCATAAACAAAAGAACGTTTTGTGTAGTGAAATTTTTATCTATAAAAATTTCCTTAGTAATTATTTTCAATTATTATTACACCTTGGTAATTGAAAAATTCTTTTTATAAATAAACAAATAAATGAATTTTAAAATGTCTATGCTTATAATTATTTCGAAGAATTCATGCATGTTTTTAAGTCTGTGCATACACACATATTTCCTCATATATACACACCAAATTATTAATCTATATCAATCGTATTGAATTTAGAATTTAATTACAATATTAATAAAAGAAATGAAACTTATTGCAAGTATTTGTTTCTTTTTCTAATTCTAATAATAATAACATTTCAATTAGTCTAAAGAAATAAAAAAAAAACGTACCATAAGTCTCATTGTTGTCATCATTGGCAGTCATTTATTATTCGTTTAATTAATGGATGATGATTGTGTCTATTTTACTCATTATATTGTTACTTCCTAGTTATAATAATGTTAATGTTTCATTGCAAGAAATGATGATTTGATGCCAGGCTATCAATGGGTCAAGTACAATACTAAATACGGAATCAAAGAGTAAAAGAGTGTCAGTGTGTTCATGTTTGATTAGAATCTACTGTTTGTTAAGAGTTTTTTTCTAATTTTTATTTGAAATTACTTTTTTGATGCGCAATTTGTTTGATTTTCTCTTAGAACTCAACTGGAGTATGATCACTTGTCTACGAAGATCATTCGAAGATTTGAGATTAATTATTAATGTAAAATGCCACCGAAGCAGAGGAAAATAGCTATTATGGGATATAGATCTGTAGGAAAATCTTCATTAAGTATTCAATTTGTTGAAGGACAATTTGTAGATTCTTATGATCCAACTATTGAAAATAGTAAGTAAACATTTCGGAGAAAAATTGAATTTACTATTATTATTAAATAGTAGTCAACATAATTTTTGTCTTTTTTAATTATGACTATTTTCAATGCCATTAAATTTTATTAAAGTATAATCAACTTGAATAATTAAATCTTTTCTAATTTAAAAAGCAATTATGTCGATTTCCACATTGTGGTAATTAATTTCTTGACAATTACTTTTATTAAATGATAGTTTCTTAGCTAACATAATTGATATTTTAATAAATCTATAAAAATCTAATTAGTTGATTAAATTATCTGAAATATTGCAGACCTCAAGTATTGAATAAAATTATTATCAAATCCAAAAAGAGTTAAAATTAAATTATTTCATTGTAATGAAAAGTTTCTGTACGTCAATGTAATATTGATTGGAAACGAATAACATGTTTTCTATAAATTTAATACAATTTAATGATTTAACATATCTAACAATCATTTAATTTGATTGTAAAATGATTTACTTTATTATTTAATCAAGCTTATTGCATTGTTGGTTATTTTTTCAGCTTTTACAAAGAGTACACGTGTACATAGCCAAGATTATGAACTTAAATTAGTTGATACAGCTGGTCAAGATGAATATAGTATATTTCCTACACAGTATTCTATGGATATTCATGGCTACGTATTAGTATATAGCATAACAAGTGCTAAAAGCTTTGAAGTTGTACAGATTATTTATGACAAATTACTTGATATGACTGGAAAAGTTCAGTGAGTAATATTTTACACAAATTAACCGTACCAATCAATATCATCATTATCATTATTATTTAAAAATCAATTTGAAAAAGATTAAGCTTGAAAAATTAGCGTTAATACAAATTATGTTCACAGTGTCCCTATTGTGTTGGTGGGAAACAAAACAGATTTATATGTAGATCGAATGGTGACTACTGAACAAGGAAAAAAGTTAGCTGAAAAATGGCAAGCTGCGTTTCTGGAAACCAGTGCAAAACAAAATGAATCAGTTGCAGATATATTTCACACGTTGCTGATAGCAATTGAAAAAGCTGATGGAAATGTTCAAGAAAAATCAAATTGTTTAATATCCTAAATGAATTATTTAATTAAATAATTAATTAATTAATAGAAGAAAATATAAACTTAAAAAATTTAAAAAATAGACCGAGATACCATTCTGTAGATTCAATGTGTTTGTTCATCACCAGAAAGGTCACGATAAAATATTTGCATTTAATTATCAATTATTATTAATATTAAGTATTTCCCCTCATTTTTCTTCTTCACTTCTTCTGACTCTTCTGAACATTACTTGTAAATATATATTATTATAGTTTTGTCATGAAATAAAAAAAAGATAGTAGATATGATTATTTTTTGTAAAGAAAAATATTTTTTCTATGTCAACGATTTTGAAGATTCATGAGGTAATTTATGATATCGTTGAAATTTATTTTCTCTGAGCTTCATAGCATTATTAGAATTTGAAACTTTTGTTTTTGTATTACAGAAACAAATCGAGTATTTTGTTAATTTACTCGTAAAAATATAATGTTTATTTACTTACAATATGACTTGAATATCATTTAGGTATTGTCAACCTGTTACATATCATAATTAACTTCTCCCATAATTCTGGGTTTTATTAGATACAGATTTCTTGAGTGTTTATTTCTCTTGTAATTTTACTTTATATCATGACAAGATCATTTAACAGCATATTAATCTTATTTCCAGGGAACAGTTCATTTTAATCATCAATTATTCCGTACTAACAATTACTAATATTTCACTAGATCTTTTGTAAACTTTTATTTATCTGTTAATTCAAAATCTCAATAACAAATAGGTAACATTTACATTAGTAAACATTCTTTTGGATTGATTTGCAAATAAATTACTATGATGAACAGATTTTAATTAACAAAATTGTACGATCAATTTATTATGATTGTATTTTTATAAACAAATATTATGTTTGGTTTTTATACATTCTATTTTGCAAGAACAAATGAATCGTTACTTTTTGCTTTCGAACTTTTGAGTTAATTACAATATTTGTATGCAGTTGAGCGTTATTATTACTTAATACAATAAAAAGGTGTTCAATTTTTCGTCAAACTCTTTGTATTCTTTTACTTCAAGTCGTAAATATTCATTTAAAAAACAAATATTTGATAAGAAGAAAGAAAATTAATTAGTTTTGAATCAACATCCATTGTTTTAACTAAGCAAATATAACTTCTTCAATGTTCCATATATTGCAATATTTTATGAGCTATATGTATATATGAAAAATCATTAATATTAAGAGTATAGTTAAGTATCTATTAAATGAAAATTTTCCGCATTGATCGACGTGTATCATCTTCTTTTCTGAAAGAAATTTTAAAAAATAGAATTTGTGGATCTTTTGTGTGTTACGAGCCAACGAAGAACATGTACCAACGCATGCGCAAGATCATGGTCGTCTCTGCTCCAAAAAGTCAACATGTTTATATTCATTCGTTTATGATAACATACATTGCATCAATGATGTAATAAATTATTAGAGTACAGTACATAAGAATACTTACATACGCTTAATTTTTTAGTTGCACCGCAATAAAATAAAAGCAGGAAAAATTCAAAAATTATGTGATAATTCTGTGATGGTTGTGATTGATTTATAAACTGTCAAAATTTTAATTACAAAATAATATTGATCTATTTTGTGCGTATCGAAAACAATTCAATTACTTGACTATTTTTATACTGTAAAATCACGCAATTATTTTCGAAAATATTTTATTATAATTTATATTAGACAAACATCAGAAAAATGTTTAGAACAGTGCATACAAATATTTCAAAATATCACGTGAACCTGCCGTGTAGTGCCTGTGTGAGTAAATTTATGATAACATGAAAATCTTTGAATAGGAACAACTTGCTTATGAATAAAAATGAAAATACTAAATATTAACTAATAATAAATTTTTTTATAGATAAAAAGTTATTCAAAAGTAGCAACTGATAAGGAATCTTTTAAGAAAAAATTAGAAGACGGCCCTAACCTTGATGACTTTCTATCAGAATCATCATCTAAATATGAAGGCAAACTAAAATTAGAAAAAGGAGAAAAAACAAGATTACGATTACCACCATGGCTAAAAACAGAGATTCCTATTGGTAAAAATTATGCAAGAATCAAAGAACAATTGAGAACTTTGAAACTAGCAACTGTTTGTGAAGAAGCTCGCTGTCCAAACATTGGAGAATGTTGGGGAGGTGGAGAACATGGTACAGCTACTGCGACCATAATGTTGATGGGTGATACATGCACTCGAGGTTGTCGATTTTGTTCTGTTAAAACAGCAAGAACTCCACCACCACTTGATCCTAACGAGCCTGTAAATACAGCAGCAGCGGTAACAAGTTGGGGGCTTGATTACATTGTTTTAACGTCAGTTGATCGTGATGGTAAATTAAAAAAAATTATAAAACAATTATATTTTATGTTAAATAATGATAAATTTTTTTTTCATACTTTATTTTTTTTATTCAAGATTTACCTGATTATGGTGCGAAACATATCGCAGAGTGTATAAGAGAATTAAAAAAAAGAAGTAGTATCCTCGTGGAAGCTTTAGTACCTGATTTTAGTGGAAAAGAAGATTGTATACAAGAAATAGTAGATTCAAAACTAGATGTCTTCGCTCACAATATTGAAACTGTTGAGAGACTTACGCCTTTTGTTAGAGATCGACGAGCACGCTATGAGTAAGTGAAAAAAAATATTACTTTGAGTGCTAGTTATTTAAAAATGATTTTTTCTTTAGACAGTCGTTGAGAGTTCTCAAAAGTGCGAAGCAAATGAATCCAGCCTTGATAACTAAGTCTTCAATTATGCTTGGACTTGGGGAAACAGATGAAGAAGTTAAAACAACTATGAAAGATCTCCGGGAAGCTGGAGTTGATGCTTTGACTCTTGGCCAATATATGCAACCAACAAAAAGGCATTTGAAAGTGATAGAATATGTTACACCTAAGAAGTTTCAAGCTTGGCAAAAATACGGAGAGGAATTAGGTTTTCTTTACACTGCTAGTGGTCCATTAGTCAGATCGTCTTATAAAGCAGGCGAATACTTCCTTACTAACATCCTTAAAGAGCGTCAAGGTCAAAGTGCTAGTAGTACATCTCCATCTAATTGATGATGTAGTCTTTAGTAATGACTTATTGAATTATATTATTTATTGCTACTAAATTATTTATTTATTAGTAATTTTGTCTTGAAAGACTTTTCAAGTTTGATCAAGTTAATTCTCTAATCCTTTTCTGAATAAAATTAGTACTAAATATTTTAAATCATGACAAAGGCACAATATTATAAATTTACCGCTAAAAATAGTGATTTTGACATGCATAAAAAATGATTTATATTCCAAAAATGATACTTTTATAATACTTCAAGAAAATATAAAAAAATGAACGTTGAAATTTTGAAGTAAATAATTGATGCATAAACAACTAAATTAATTATAACTGAAAAATTATGTATTTATTGTATTCTTTGACCAATTTTAAAAATTAATTATTCAGTATCCATAGCCACAGCAGCACGTGGCTCGGCAGGATCATCTGCAGGAGGGTCTTGAGGGGGTTTATCATCTTGTTCTGCATCCGGACCTGCAGCCGGTCTTCCTCGTTTTTCATCGCCTTCAATCGCAGTTAGATAACGTAAAGTTTCATCTTCATTCAGAATTTCAAAGTTTCGACCTTTTCCGACGATACTAATTGATACATTCTGAATAATAACAAAAAGATTTAATTTGAGTAAATCAAATACTTGATAGGGTAGTTAAATTAAACTATTTCTCAATTACCTTAATAGAAAGATCTAATTCGTTTGGGAGGGTATCACGAAGTGCTCTAAGTCCATGTTTGATTAATTCATCTAAATCACTAGCTGGAAACTCGTTAAGATGTTTTTCAAGGTATGTACGAGCAGCTTGAGATCTAGATCCAATCGCCATAGCTTTACAGTCAAAGTAATTAGCTGAGGGACATGTTTGATAAATATGTGGGCCTTGATCCTACAAAAAAAGAAGAAAGATACCATGTTTTGAAAAAAAAAAAATTTCCAATATAAATTTCTCATTATTTTGAATAAGCTCACATCATAGCCAGCAACTAGCAAACCAACACCATAAGGACGTCTGTCATATCTTTGAGTGCAAGTTTGCATTTTATTTCCCAAATTGGCAATAAGACGACTAACGGGAAGTGCATCATCATGAGAATATTTATAATTTAAACATTCTGTTCTCATATATCGACTGTTATTGGTAAAAATAAATGTCTAATTAATTAAAAATATTATTGAGTCAGTATTGTTTGCATTAATGCAATGTAACAAAGTGTACCTCAGCATTCTTGCATCAGCAGTTAAGCCGGCAATACTGATCCCCATGTGTTTGTCAATAGGGATAATTTTTTTCTGATACGCAGACAACTCTGATGATGCTCTTTTAAGAGCAATTAACACTGCATGTGTTTTATTTTTAAGGCCGACTGTTGCTGATCCTAATTTCACTGCTTCCATGGCATATTCCACTTGGTGCAAACGCCCTTGAGGACTCCAGACAGTAACATCACTGTCGTACTGATTTCGAAACTGGAATATTTAATGATTACATTTTTTATTCTATTCTTGAAAAATTACCATAAGTAAGAAGCGAAAAGTTAATATTTGAAATTTTTAGTTATCTTTTTCTCATTTATTTACAGTTATAATACACTAATGACAAAGCAGTATTGCAAATTTTCAATTAAAAAAAGATTATAGAAATTTCCTCACCATTATTCTTGTTTTTTTTTTATAAATTAATATTTATTAATACTAAGTATTTATTAGCTTTTGCTGAAGTTATTATTTAAGCTTTAATATATACTTTTGACGTAAAAATGAATGGTCATACAAGTATCAACATTCCACAAAGAGGTTATAAAATACACCAAACATCACCGTCATGGCAAAGAGAATTGCCGCACATATGTAGAAGCTCACATGCTGAAATTTCGCGTTTCACGGTGTATTTAGTTCACGAGTTGACTGAGTGTGGCACTAGTGTTTAAATAATATTTGAATAAAATAATTCCAATTTTTTATTTATTTATTTCAATTTATTGTAATTAAATAATAGTTACATGTCGATAGTTAATTGTTGATAAAAAATATTACAGTTATCGAAGATGTTCAATAATAATAATATTCTATTATTTTATCATTAAGCCTGGTAGTAGTATTTATATATAAATTATTAAATATTTTATAAAAAAAATACATGCTATTTTAATTTCCAATTTATGGATATTTATAATTTGATAATTTATTGAGCTTCAAATTTAAGATAAGATTTGATGTTCAAAAATTATTTATTTACATCTATCACAAAAAAGTCAACAAAAAAAAATATTTTAAAAATTTTTTCTAAAAAAAAATAACTTAAACCATCAACGAATTTTTTCTATTTTTATCAATATTAAAAATAAATGATGTAACAAAAAAATTAATATTTATTTTTTCATTCACATATAATTGCGGCAAAAATAGACGACAGAGTAAGGAAGATAGTAGAAGAACAGAGACGCGCATTTCTCGTGCATTTATGCACGGTATCAATCGTCATGTTATTTTATTGTAAAAAGTAAAGATAAAAATATAAAATTATGCAAAATGTTGAGTTGTGGAAGAGCAGTTGGAAAATTTAGTCGACTATACAGAAAAATTAATTCAAATGGAATACAAAGAACTTGTAAATTTATAGGTGAGTGTTTGGAGCACTTTAATTTCGACTAACCTATCACAAAGCAATTAAATCAATGCCTAATAGTAGCTCATATTTTAATTATTTAGTTCCTCCCATAATTTATTTTCTGAAAATTACATATGATCATGTGTAATCACTCATTTATTTAAATATACTTATTATCTGTTAATTTTAAATGAAAATAACTACATAACCTTCAAAAATAAAGATACATTCGAAGCCTCTTTATTCATTCTTGATGTAAATGACATTCTTACTCATCTATATTGCAAATAACTTTGTATATTTATAATTTTACTAAAAACTTAAACTAAGAAGCGTTCAATTGTGAATTATTACAAACCATTGTTATAAATACTTTCCAAATACTTGAGAGAGTAATCTCCTCTACTTTGTAGAAAGTCTATTGTTTTTTAGCCAATTGTTTATTATTGGATAACCAATTAGTGTATAAGTAATTTTTTCCTTCAACATTTTATCTATGTTGGTTTTTACCTGATTCTGAAAAAATACATTGAAAAAATTTTTCTCTTCAGACATTACCGGATTATCGAATTCAAGATATTTGAGCAATGTAAAAAATAAAAATCCAGAAAATACTGCTAAGCCTTCAACAACTTTGTCTAGTTCAAAATCATCAGTACCACCAGAATGTGAAGAAATTTGTGGAAAAATTCAAGCAACTAATTGTCATGAATCATCGAAGAAACCTAATGATATTACAAAATATTGGAAACAAATTTTAGCAGCGGTCTTAATAGCTGGAGTAACAGTTTATGCATTAACTCAATCGAAATCTTCTCTAGAAGAGAAAAAAACTATTAAGAAGAAAGAAAAAATAAAGAGTCGAAAAGAAAAAATTCGAGTTCCTGCCAATTCAATATTAATTCCTCCAGAAGTCCCTTATTTGTTAATCGGAGGAGGAACAGCAGCATTTTCAGCATTTAGATCTATTAAATCCAAGGATCCAAAGGCTAAAGTCCTAGTCATAAGTGAAGAACCAAGTTTTCCGTATATGCGACCACCACTATCAAAAGAGCTCTGGTTTAGTCAAGAGCGAGAGCCATCAAGTGAATTGAATTTCAGGCAATGGAATGGTACTACCAGAAGTATCTATTACGAGCCAAAAGAGTTTTACTCGAAAGTAGAGGATTTAATTGCATCAGATAAAGGTGGTGTAGCTGTAGCAAGTGGTTGGAAGGTTAAAGAACTTGATTCCTACAATAAAATAGCAGTTCTAGATGATGGATACGAAATAAAATATAACAAATGTTTGATAGCTACAGGAGCAAAGCCTAAAAATCTTAAAATTTTTGAATCTGCTACAGAAGATGTACAAAAAAAAATAATAGCATTCCGAACTAAAGATGACTTTTTGGAATTAGAAGAAAGAGTGTATGATCCAAAGGTGGAAGATATTGTTATTATTGGTGGAGGATTTTTGGGATCAGAGTTAGCATGTTCACTGGCTAAGAAGCTTGAGAATATGAAAAAAAAAGTTTATCAAGTATACAAGGAAAAATTCATTATGGACCAGGTTTTACCAGAATACTTAAGTGAATGGACAACCAAGAGATCAATATCTGAAGGAGTTATTTCGATTGGTAATGAAGAAATTAAAAGCCTTAATTATAAAAATAATCAATTACAATTAACTTTGACAAGTGGCAAAACTCTGAACGCTGACCAAGTAATTGTTGCAATCGGTGCTGATGCTAACACTGAGATTGCCGATACTAGTGGATTAGAAGTTGAACCTAACATTGGCGGATTTTTAGTTAATGCCGAATTAGAAGCTAGAAGAGATCTCTGGGTGGCTGGAGATGCTGCATGCTTCTACGATATTAAACTAGGTCGTCGAAGAGTTGAACATCATGATCATGCAGTAATATCTGGTCGATTAGCTGGAGAAAATATGACCGGAGCAGGTTAGAGCATTCTATTAAATTTGGATCAATTAATAATATTGAATTATTTTCATAAACATTGATTCTATCAATTTGCTAAATATCAAATAATTCATCAAAAACCTTTAGATTGTTAGAATTTATAAAATACTCGTCTTTTAGGTAAACCTTATCTGCATCAATCAATGTTTTGGTCGGATTTGGGCCCAGAAGTAGGTTATGAAGCCATTGGAATTATTGATTCACAGCTTCCTACAGTTGGTGTTTTTGCTAAACCAGAAAATTCTTCTGATAAAAAAAATAGTTTACAAGAAAAAAAATCGGAAAGTAATAATGAAAAGCAAACTTCCTCAGAAAAATCTAGTAATAAATCCGTGACTAATTTAGAAGAAAATACCGTTGCTATAAAAAATACTGGCACAGAAGATGATTATAGTAAAGGAGTCATTTTTTATCTCAGGAATAATGTAGTTGTTGGCATTGTCTTATGGAATATTTTTAATCGAATGTCTTTAGCACGACAGGTATAGATAACTGTAATTTTAAAACTAAATTATTTAAATAATTTCATAATTAAATCACAGATAAATCAAATATATTCCTTTTCAGGTTTTGGCGCGAGGAACTCATCAAAATGAGTTAAGTGAAGTCGCAAAACTTTTTTCTATTCACGATGATTAATTATCAATCAATAAAATAATTAATCAACACAGTGTGTATATAATTTTTTTCATCATATTAGTGTTATCATAATTTTATATATTGCGAAGTTAGGATACAATATGAACTATTTTTTACTTTGTGATGATAGACAGAATTATGGTCGAGAAATAATCTGCATAATCATTTCTGTAAACAAACGGAATATATTCTCATTAAATATGCATTTAGATGAATCCACTAATAGTGTCAATAATTCAATACTCTGTTTGGAATGATGAAAATAAATGAATGAAGACCATCGATTAATGAAAATAAAATCTTATTGACAATATTATTTACAACTTTTAAAGTTATTCTTCATTTATTAATTTGATTTGTGTCAAAGCAGGAAGAACTGAATTTTGATATTTTTTTGCTAATCGGTCCATAAATCCCAAGTAATTATGACATCGATACTGGCTTAAATCCTGTAATTAATATCAATCAACCATAATTTTTTATATTAACAAATAACATTTATCAATATTAATAGAAAAAAATTTAATAACATTACCAAATTTTCAGGCCAAAATTTTTTATCAATAATATCTTGCATCAAGATTGGCTCACAATGTTCCAATAATGAAACACAATAATAAACAATATAATCTGGAGGGTTTAAGATGCACACTTTAAAGAAGTTCATAATTTCTGACCATTCTAAAATACCCCAGAAACATTGTGTGAGTAATCGATCACAAATAATCCACCATCTGATGCCAAATTCATTCTAACAAAATACCATTCAAATTAATTGATTATTACTTAACAAAATAATTAATTTATCAGTTTATTAACTTACTTTAAGTGCATAACTGATTGCTGGAAGTTCTATATTTATAATCGATTCTATATGTTGAGCAACAATTATTTGTGTGGCAACTTCTTCCTCATTAGCTTGATCAACTACCGATCCTAAGGCTCTCCACATGAAAACTGCTGATGGAAATCGAACCAATTGTGATATAAACTGTTTACATCTAAACCAAAATTGAGATAAATATTTTTGACTACTCTTTAAATTTAATTTAAAAATAATTACGTAATCTAGAGCCGGTGATGAATATTTGCACTTGATTAAAGAACCTAAGGTTAAAGGTCTTTAAAATGTATGTAATAAAGTTTTCAATCTGAGGCTCTAGATTTCATAGATGATGATGATTTTAAGCTAGCTTGAGTCACTTCATGCATTAATAATAAGATTTCGGATTAATTTTTAGTACGAAAATTATTTGTTAATGCGTTTGAGATGATTCGCGGCTTTCTGAATCTTATACAAAAACTCTAACTTATAATTAAACTCACTTTTCAATGTCTCCATTACAGATAACAAAAATAGTAGCAAGAAACCAATCAAAGCCTTCAAATTTTCTCATTTTTTCAAATTTAATATACGTATGAACCATTTCGAAAACTTTTTTTAAATTTTCTTTTGCTTCTGATGGATTTTCAAGTTCCTCACAATTTTCTTCAGCATATCTAATAGCCAGTTCAAGTCCAAGTTCTTCTTCTGGGAGCCAAAAGTATTCTGTCATAAGTTTATTGTCCCATTGAAAAATATCTACCCATTCAACAGTGGGAATAGCTTTTTCCATTTGATCGAGAAGATGTATTAATGTTGAATGCTATTAGTAAAAAAATATTAGTAATATATTTTCATTTACATGGATTATTTTATGAAAAGTTTTACCTTTATTGAAGTTTGAGAGCTTCTATAAGCCCTTTTTAATTGAGAAACCCATCCACTGTCTCTTAGTCCTGGTCCACTTTCATTTAGAAATTCGTCCAATTCTGATGTTGAATTTAATCGCATTAATTTCTTTGTATCAATCTCTTCTTCTGGTGGTGGGAATGTATAGAAAAGTTTTACTTGCTCAGGCACTTGAAATTTTTTATTTAATTTGTGTTTTATATAATAAGAATTGACAAGTATTCTATGACGAATAAAAGAAGATTCATTAATCTCATATACTTTATGAGTTTCTTCTATTATTTCATGCCTTTCTTGGTTTTCTAATGGTTCATTTTCTTTAGTGATATCTTTTTCCTCTTCCATTTCATATTCACTCATTTCATCTTCAAGTTTCTCTTCGTACTTTCTGACTTCTAAAACTGTTTCTCGTTGGAGTTGAAGTAATTGAGTCTTTAAAATATAAAAAAAATGAGAATTGTGAAAAACAAATCCAGATATCAAATTAAACTTACTTGAAGGTCATAGAGGTGTAATAAATTTATCAAAATATCTAAATTCCAGATCATATTCTCTAATATTAGAAGACTAAAACTGTGAAAGGGAGAATCTCCATGGAGTGAATAATTTAAAAGTTCACAAAAACTTCGAGGATACTCATAATCTTCAGCAGCACCGTCTTTTGAATCTTTTATAAAGATATTAAAACCTAAAAAATGTTTGTAGCTTAGTAAAAAGTTGTTTTATATAGGCAAAGATACTTACATTCAGTATTTAAAGATAATAAAGCAATAACATGAATGAATTTTTTAGCATTTTCAGCATTCCATGGATCAAAGAATAAATCTGGATTTTCTAGGTTGCTGCAGACATCCGTTAGAAACATCGAAAAAGTCTGAGGAATTAAAGCTACAATAATTCTTTGAGCATATTCAAAGAATGCTGCTGAGCAAATGAAAGAAACAATTTCATTGGAGCTCCATGAGTATCTCAGAGGATTAATTGAGCTTCTGATTAATTCTTCAAATACTGACGGGCATTTTGAGAGTAATTGGAGTCCTGAAGGATTTGCAGTAACTTTCAACAGCATATTTTTTGCGGCACTGTAAAAATGAAAATGTAACTAATATTCGAATTTACTATTTAAATATTAGTTTGATAATAATTTATTATTTGAATACATTTAAAGTAAAAAAATAATATTCTTACTTATCGAAGGATTGAGTCCAGTTTTCATATCCAATAGAACATTTATCTAATTTGTGATAAAAAAATTCTAAAGCTGGAAAGAAATGCTTTGTAATAGCATCTTCAACAATATTAAAGTCTTCAATCACTTGAAAATAATTTTCAATAAATTTGAAGATTCGAACAAGCTGTTGAACATCCATCACAGCAAAAGGTTGACGTAAAAGTTCAGAAGTATTAATTAAAATAATTGTTATTGGACAGTTCGGCTTAGAATGTTCAATTTTAGCAGAATTACTCCGATAATCAGTCGTCAAAAAATGGAATCCTTCATTAGACATCAACATAAAGTTTAAAATATCAACTGTATGCGACCAAATATTAGTTCCATTGTTGATATTAGATTTCAATAAATGATTCAAAGCTATATGGAAAAGTCTAGCATCACATGGAAACGTTGGTTGGTTTAGAATAAGCTTTAAAGCTTGTTGGGTTTCATTATAAACAACTCTAGATGCTGTTGATGATGATGCCATGTTGTTCAAACAGCCTACAAGTGAAAATAAAAAATCTTCTGACGAAGATGGTAAATCTATTTGAATATCTCTAAGTAAATTTCGTCCAGATACACAGCTGTACAGTTGAGCAAGAAAGTTCAAGCAATGAAAATACGTTAAAGCTTCAATAGTTTCACTTGAAATGAAAAAATTTAATGGATCATCAGTTATTGAACAAGTTAATACACTTGGTGGGTTATCCAAATTTTTCTTTACCACATCTAGGACCATTCCTAATAAATTAGGTGACTTAGCGAGTGCTGAAATAAAAGTCTTACGAGAAGAAAAGTTATGAATCCATTTTTTAGACCAGTTAGCTTGTGGTTCTAGTACAGATATAAAATTAAGAACATTTAAAGTCTTTGTTAAAGCATTAGAAACATTTTGAGAAGCAACAAAAACCACAAATTGATCAATCATTTCTTCAATTGTCTTATCAACAGTTCTCATAGTCTTTAAAATTCGTTTTTGATGTTTGATGATCAAAAACAAAATTCTGAAAAGTTTTTCGTGAAGAAATATTTTGAAGCTAATGCCAATATTGAAATTTGGAAGAGTTTCACTAATTTTTTTAGAATAATATTCATTATCAAAAATGTTTACAAGATTAGTGTATGCATCGTAAGATCTTGATGAATCCAAAAGTTTTGAGTAGACTCTTAAGCTTGATTCAAAAATAGGCCGACTATTGTCAGAGATTCCATCTCTTAAAGATGTAATTAGCCCACTAAAAACTTCGTCAGAACAATTATTTATTAATTCTCCATCTAAGAGAGCTTCAAAACCAGCCAATCGCACATGTACAGGTTTTTTTGTTGATAAATTATCCAGAATGATAGGTAAATCATCGCTATTTGGTTTAAATGGACTCCAATCATCGTTGAATAAATCATTTGCAGATAAAAGTGAACCACCAGTTCCTAATTCATCTGATTTGTCATTAATTTTTACACTCTTGTCATTAGTTTTATTGATAGCATTGATGACAAAATTTTTTGAATCTTGAACTAATTGTTTTATGTCTTCAGTTGTGATTATTTCATCAACAATTGATTCAATGTCAACATCTTCATCTAGTTTGTAAGTTATTTCTTGTTCAAATTTTTCTTTAATGCATTTTTGCAACCATTTACGAAATGGGGAATTTGATTCTGTCATCATCTATCTTTTGAGTTATTCATCAAGATTCACTTCTAATTATCACAATATTTTATTAATTATAGATCTTAAAGAAAAAACTAAAAATGATTTTAAAAGTATTTAGAATATCTACATTTAAAAAATTTTAACACTACATCTTAAAAGTTCCATAAAATTAAAAAAAACACTATAATAACTGTTGATATTTTTACGTATAGTTAATTAATTAAGAAAAAGTCACGCTTTCTGAATTAATAATTATAAATTTGGTATACTATAAGTTGAATACATTTGTTGTGGTTGTTGGTTGCCTTGGTAACTACTTCTATGAAGGTCAGTAATTATACAAAATTACATGGCTCAAAATTTGAAATATTTTACATTGCAAATATTTAAGAAAATTATTATTTATTAATTATTTTTATTTAATTATAATATACTTAAAAATATTTCGTTTTTGGTTATAAAATATTAAAGCCTTTATTTACAAATATAATATGACATTCAATCTTATATATCAATTGGTAAATATTATGAAAGTGTATTAGAAAACACTTGATCACGTATAGGAACAAGTATATTAGGACACTTTGATCGTAATCCATAAATTCCATCCTGGAGTGAGCAAACACCGTGGATTTCACATTTCATTAAGAAATCTGCAAACTAAAATTAAAAAAATTATTTATATCATATACTAAAGAAAAAAAAAAGAGGACAAGAATTATAACTTACCAGAGAATTATTTTGATCATGAGGTCCAATAATAACAACAATTTGTTTTTTTTGGGCGGCTAAAATTCGTGCTTGAGGTCCTAAATTATCAATATTTGTATGAGATAATTGCACACTTGTAAATGGAATGTTAATACTGTTTTTTACAGCACTTCTTTCATATTGAATATTATTCCTAATATCGACAATAATTAGCTTATCAGGCAAATTTTCATAAAGATTTAAAAAATCTTCAATGCTTATTCTTGGCATTCTTTCAGTGCCTACTTCTGGTTCTTTCCAATTATTTGCTTTAGACTGATCTAGCTGGTGTTTTCTATATGTTATACTTGATGGTGTATTTTGATACATTGTCATCGAATCTTTAACACACAGCTCAATATCAATTTCTGGTAAATCAGAAAATAATAAAATGCACTCATTGAATCCTGAAGTTAATAATGAATCTCTGAGTTGCTTTAAAATTGCTAATCCCACCATAAATGGAAATGAAGAGTCTCCAAGCAATAATTTGTCCCATAGATGCAAGATTTTATGTAATGGAAACACATCTTAAAAATAAAAATAATTTATTAAATAAATCTTGATTATTAAACGAGTAAAAAATAATAGTAATCAACTTACGAGAAAACATGGTCAAAAACCAAGGGATTGCAAAAAGTTCTGGTACAAAATTTATTGATTTGAGATGATTAGCCAATTGAGGATCATGAAAAGCAATGACTTGAGAAAATTTGCTCAAATACTCGTGGATCACAGCACTATTATCTTTCAAGAAAAATTTATGAAGATATTTAGGTATAAAAGCTGACAAACAAGCAAAAGCTCGAGCTTCATTATCGAAATTAAGATAAAGAAACGGGGCTGTGAGTGAATCAAGACCTTGCCAGTAGACATAATGTGGATTATCACGAACCCAAGCTTTTAAAAGCCTTTGGAGTCTCTGGTGTCCAGCTCCAGATGACAAAAGCTCACTGTATTGATGACATCTAGGAATATCAACCTCAATTTGTCGGTCTGTATGAGTTGGAGTATCTTTATCAATCATTTCATATCGTTTTTCAATATCTCCAACAACACCAAGCAATGCAGTCCAGACTCTTCCTCTAACCGGAGGAGGAATATCTTTGTGAGCTTCACGAATGATAGCTTTTCTAGTAATAGGATATGTTTGAAGAAGTCTGTCAAATAAAATAACACGATAAAACTGATACTCTGTATCTCTTTCACGAATGATCAATGGCAATTGTGCTGCCATTTCAGTCAAATCATCTTGAGCCTTTACATGCATTTTATTTGTAAGCCTTGGACAATTAGCAACATAAGGAATATGTGCTAGTCGTTGTTTCAAAGTATCTAGAGGCACTTTTATGACTCTTAAATCCAAAAGTCTAGCTGCATCTCGACGTCCAAACATCTGTCCCAGCAGAATAACTAAATTTGGAATTGATAAAATTGGTGGGCGCGATCTAATCAAGCCTTGTTTTTTTAATTCAATTGTCATATCACCGCCTGCCAGCTGCCAGAGATAATAGTATTCATCCATTTTTCGTACAATTATATTTTTATACATATCTTCATTTCTATTTATTTCATCTTGTTTCAAATGTTCTTGAAAGAGTGGAAGATTCAATAATTGATCAGAAGTATATCTTTCTGAAGGTTTGATCTTCAAACAAGCATCAATAAATTCTTTAATTTCATCAGGAATATTTTTATAAACTTGATATTGATTACATTCACGTGCTAAACGTTCAAAAATACTTGTTTGAGTTTGAAGAAGACTTAAAACTTTCCATAAACACTGACCAAGCTTAACATTTGACCAAATTTGTTTTCCAAGTAATAATTCTGCTATTATTATACCTAGAGACCATGAATCTACTTTGCAACTACTTACTTTTGTGCTCAAAAACACTTCTGGAGCTGTGTATTTTGGGCAGGCGATTGGAAAAGAAACATTTTTACCACAATCAGTCATGTAATAGAAACCATAGTTGAATAATTTGACATTGTTTTCTTTATTTATTAATATATTTTCAGGGCTGAGATGTCGATGAACTAAGCCAAGCTGATGGATATGGTTTAAACCTAGTAAACACTGATAAGATATTTTTACAATGTCTTCCAGTAAAAAATTATGATCACTGACTTTACTAGCAAGGGTTTCTCCAGTGTATTCAGCAACAACAATTGTCCTTTCATGCTTGCTTCTAATGATATCCAAATATTTAGATAGATTGTTGTGTTCTATAGTTTTTAAAAATTGAGATTTACCAAAAATTGTTATTGAATTGGGTGTAAGTGGTAATCCATTGCTTCCACATAATTCTGAAGGATGACTTTGGGCAAAAAAAGTCATGCCACCTAAACAACGCTCCTCTTGATCCAAAATTGCTGGACTCATTTTTAAAAAATATTTTGTTAATGATTCTTGAATTATTTCACATGTTAAACACTGAATTCATTAATCAATTTAACTGTCTACATATTGAATTATCGTTTTCCTATACATTTTTTAAATTATTTATTCAATAATATATTATCTTTCTGTATCACAAATATCTGTGTTTTGTAAACTTTGACGTCTCTATCAGATATTGTCAATCACAAACCAATGTTGCAGTTGATTATTGTTATTTTCATAATAAATAGATTACTAAATATTTTCCGCACTCTTACATCAATATATACACTCACAATTTGTACTTTAAATGACTATTTAGTTTATTTAATGCTGCTAATTAGAGAAAAGAGACAGATAGAATCATGTAATTGTAAAATTAACCAAAAAAATAAGGTGTCCATTTTTATGAATGTATAAGATTCTTATCATCAACTGATAATTGAAAAAACTGTTTGTTCTACATTCAGTAAACAACTTGAAAAATTGTAGTCGCTGAATTATCATCATTAGATAAAACAGAAATACTAGTGAAGGTTATTTGTCGCGGGTGATAAATTAAAAAAATTCAGAAACCACATAATACATAAAAGTGATAAATATAATAGATTTTAAAGACCGTACTATTTTTAGAAATATTAATAGTTAATAGTGCAAGTGATTTCAGTATCCTGGTTGATGAATATGATAGTTGTGTTTTTTATTTTTACGCTTTGTGAAGTGCTTTCAGTTAGCATCAGTCTTTCAACTATTGAACTATACTGGATAGTAAACACCTTTACGTACTGGTACGACTAGTAGTAATTTTCTAATTAAATAACTTCTATGACTATGTATTTAATAGTTTACTGTTAGTACCAAAATCGGTAATCTTTCTCTTTGATTCGAAACATTAGTGTTGTAAAGACCAACAAAATGTTAGATTGTAATAGCAAGTGAGCAAACTGTGTGACCAGAGAAGGTACAAAAGACAACAAATATAACAGTAGAGTTACTGTAATTGTTCTACTGTGTTAATTTCAGGTCCGAAGTTGTTTGATGATTATAATTGTGTCCACTAACTAACTCATACTAATGATAGAATTCAATCTATATATTCTGCTTTATTTGGTAACACTTCTAAATTATATAAAATTATAAAAAATTTGGCTTGAAGAATTAATTAAAAACTAATTATTTTTAAAGATTAACTAAATTGAAGTTTCTTTCAACGAGTCAATTTAATATATTTCGGTAGAACGCTAAATGCTTTTTAGTGAGAAAGAGTGTAGAAGAGTTGTTCTTGAAAAATAAAAAGCACATAATTGCATGCCAAGGAAAAAAATACAAACACTGTCAGAAATATGGGGTTCTTTGTAGGTCGTTTATTAAATGCTTTTTTAATTAATCCATTATTTTTTTCAATATAATAGTATGGTATTCTTCTTAGTAGTAAATTACAAAAATTTTCAACCATTATTCGTAATTATCGACTGAATCTCACAAGGAGATTTCAGAATAAGTTGAGCGCTATTATTCTATTGAAAATGACACTCACAGCATAACAGTGCTGCCAGATGAAGAAAAAGTACGTAAGAATACTCAACAAATTTATTAAAAAAGTCCTATACAGAAGGAAAAACGTTTTGTAAGTTGAAAAATCATAATAATTAGTTAAAGCTTTCTTTCAATTTAACTTTAGTTAAAGTTTAAAAATGTTGATATCTCAAGCACAATAATTAAACTGTGATAAACATTAGTAGTCATGCGTTGAATAAACGAAAACAGTACATAAATAGAAATGTTGTACGTAATCTTTTGGAACAATTTCGAACTTACCGTATTAGTTATATCGTTTGACTTTGCAAAATAAATGACTCTCCTTTGACTTTCACCTTTATGTACTTTGACCTTCTTGCAGTAGTTTGTCATAATGTCTCTTTCTCACTCATTCTTGTTTATTTTCTCTCTTCATATATACATTCTGTTCGTGGAATTTTAGCAAAACATCACCAAAGATTTATGTATCAGTTTTATCTTTTTGCTATAGTAATAATTATAATGTTTGTTTAAGAAAATGACTCATAAATTGAAATTATTAGTGAAATGGAAAATATTAGAACAAAATTAACAATTTACTAGGCAAAGGTAGATGAAAACTCATGTTATATTTACCAAAATAAAGTAAATGAAACTCTTATTGTAAATTTACATGCACATGAGTACAACACTCAATTCTTCAGTGTTCTTACTGCGTATATGATACTTTCTTTGCAAGCTTATCTGTTAAACTTCTCTTTTCATAAAATCTCTTACATTTTTTATTGTGTTTTAGAAAAAGATCATATGTTAAAGAATATTTCAAGTTTGAACTTTGTTACACAATATGTCTTTACTTATATTTTACGTAAATCAGTGTATTTACAAAAATTAGAATTTTGTGAATTTTTGTTACATATAATTAATATTCAAGTATATAAATTTTCTAGAAACATATGTTACTTACTTATTGTGGTTATATTTTAATCTTTAATTTTTTTTTTTTTAATTTAATATAAATAATAAATTTACAATGAAGAATTAAATTAAAAATAAGTACTTATTTATTGATTTAAATCAAAATATCAGAATACAACAAAATTACAGATGTGTTTTTAATATTTTTGTTGGTTATTTAAATCATTAAAATGATTAAAAAAAATAATAATACATGTTTTTAATTGAAATTACTTTCACTTTTGTGGATGAAAATACATTATTTTCTAATTTAAATCTACTGAACAAATGCAAAATCTACAGTTAACAAAATATAAAAATATTTAAATGAAAATATCATAAAGTCATTGCACGATAATATATACATATATATTTATTTATTTATTACATAATTATGTATTTTAATATCTATCTATGGAATTGTTTTTATCTTAAACATTTTAGTAATTTTTTTTTTTACATATTGCAGTAAACACGTGACTTTTATGAATTAAGTCATTTCGGAATGTTATTACTTTTTATTTTTTTTGTGCAAATAACGAACTTTTAATACAGTGCCACACACTAATTTTCGACTTTTCATACTTTGTTTAATTATTTCATTAAAGAATTTATGGCTCGGCTCATTCACTCATTTTATACTTTTATCTTTCGCTATATAAATTTTTTGTCATCATTCAGTTAAATTGTAATTCGATCACGGAAAAAATATTAACAACAGATATCATATTAAATACATTAAAAATTTAGTTAAATGCAAATTCATAGGAGCTTTTAGTTATAAATCAATATAAATATCAAAAAAAATGTCTGAAATGCTTCAATATTTATTGCAATATTATTGAAAAACAAATTTTTATTATTTCTGATGATATTATTCACATTACTCTCGTGTATAGATAGATTGGCCATGGTATAAAATGTCATCTGTAATTTTTAATATGTATATATATATATATAATTTTTTAGAATGAAAGAGTTGGCACTTTTATCAATACAAAATTGACTTGATGAAAAAATTTATCGAATAAATGGTATTATTTTAATCTAATTTTTTATTAGAATTTTTTCTTTATAACTCAAAAAAATGATTTATAGATACATTTATATCTGAATAATTTTATTGAGCATTCTTTTGGTATTTTATTCATTAAGTACTTAAGAAGATGTTAAGATAACTCGTTATTTTTATTAGCAAATAAAATACGAAATTTTATATGCAACAGAGAATATTTTAACGAGAAGAAAAGACGTTGTAGATAAAAATTGAATATCCGACGGCAACGATTCATTCGCTATGTGCATTCTCGGTCTTCTTTCTCGACTTTTTCCGCATTTCAAAGCATTGGATTATCTCGCTGACGAGTGAAATTTTTTCGGAAATCGAATTGGTTAGTGAAATTTCCCTATATCCGCGTCGATACTGGAATTGAAAAACTTCAAGTTTCACATTTTGTAGCTGTAAAAAGCTGTTTTAGCTCTTGTCCGACCAGCTGCAGAATTTATAAATGTTCGTCGATTGTATGGACTTCTTATCGCATACATATATATATATATATATGTTACATAAACCAACGGTAGAAATGTTTTATTACACTTTAAACATACAAAATATTTTGTATGACAGAGAAAAAATAAAAATCAGCCATAAAAAGAAGCCATATTATCCACTTCAAAAATATGTGTCTAATTGTATTTAATAATTTTTCTTAAAAAAAAAATTTGAATATTAAATACATTTGCTCTTCTATGATAGACCACTACACGCTCTTTTCTAAATTCTTAGTCTGTATATTAATATTTTCACTCGATAATCAACATTGACAGAAAAAAAAATTGAGTTTATTAATGAAAAATATAATGATGATAAAGGAAATAAAATGCAGCAAGTTCTTACTTTACTAATACTTACTTTATCGATAATGAGCTTTAACGATTTTATTTTTCTAAATTATAAAATAACAGCATAAAACATTTCAGATGAAATATTAAATTGAATTATTTATTACAAACAATAAACTGTGTTCACTAAAAAAATTGCCCAAATGCAAATCCAATCAAACGCTCAAGTGATATGTGCAGCGAGGCCAGTCGGAGCATAAATTTGTCAAGATATTTTTCCACTTTTCTTTTTATTACCCTAGTATAAATTTAATTAGACTTTGCATTGTATATTTTTGACTTTTTATACATACTTTTCTTTTGAAATTTTAGAAAATTTCCCGGATGGATACTATCTTTTAAACTATAGATAATTTAATACTCCCCTTATTATTATTACTTTTATTATTATAATCATTATTACTAATATTTTTATAATTATCAACAAAAATCATTGATATAGTAATATAAAATGTAATATCTATACATATATTAAATAGTTTTTTACCAATATTAAAAACTAAAGTTAGTTCAGATTTTTAATTTTAATAAAGGTATTGAAATAAATTCATTAAATATTGGCCTTTCTTTAAAATATAAAAGAGTCATTTTTACTAGATTGATATATAAATTATTTCCGTAAAACTATATTAATATACTAGTTTTTTAAATCTATATTTTTCCATCTCTATCTCCTTCTCTTGACGGTTCTAATATTAACATCACTGTTTCTTAAATTTATTTCAAATATTTTTTTAGTCATTTACACGAAATTTTAATACTTACTTTCATATTTGAATATGATAATGTTTTTAATGGAAAACAGTCAGAAATTTCAAAATGATTTCTGTTATTACAAATAGAAAATATTTCAAGTAAGGCGGATTTTCTTAATTATAAAGCTGAGCTTTTGCTATTTAAATCGATATATGCGGACTTTTAAAATTGTTATTTAACCAATACTTGACAATTTATGTGCATTTGTGAATTTTCAAACACCTACATTCACACATACATACACGCATGAACATGGTACCTTTCATTACGGTAGATTTGTAGTCGGTACGAGATAACGTTGTAATCAATGAGAAACGTGTGTCGTTTATTGATAGATGTATCGAATCATGTCAAATTTGATTTGTATTTAAATTTGGTTAAATTTAACCGAATTTATTTTAATTGTAAAAATTTTATATGAGCATCGATCGACTATCATTGTTATTGTTTACCGCAGTATTTATACAAACGATTATTTCACTGTAAATAATAAGGAAGTATTATTTTATCCACAGAATAAATTTCGTTCAAATTTCAAATCATACATTCATCAACTATCTATATATTTCTATGCATATCAAAATAAACAATGACAATAATCAAAGTAGAATTTGTCAATTGAAAATATTATGTAAAAATAAAAATATAAATTCTTTCATTTAAAGTACTTTTTGGCCATAAATAATATATAATAAATCTTTTATAATAATTATGTTATTTAAAAGAAATCGGTAACTTTTAAATGTCATTTATTTCAAATGACTAGAGAATGAATAACAAAACATTTTAGTTGTTCATGAAACTTTCAATACTAATTGTGTTTCTCAACAAAAAAAAAAAAACAATACTGCGAAAGTTCAATGCATAAAATTTAATCAAAATTTTATCGTTTTTCATGACTCTCCTATTCTAATTTATCAATTAAATTTTCGTTTATTCAATTATTTTTGTTTTTTCATTTCATTATTGTTTTTATTTAAATGACATTAACTAATAAATAACAGCTAAAATAGTTGACATTTAAAGTGGACATAATTGGCTGTAATTTTGACATTTTCTCGATCAATCACGATCAGCCGTGATCAACATTATCAAGGGCGTAATCATCATCACGTCATGGTGAAAACAATCATCGCAAGTGATATGAAATCTAATCGTATGAAATTTGCTACACTTTCAATAGTATTACGTGGATCACCAGCACTCAATCTCTGATTATTAACGTGTGTTATTAATATATTTTTCTCTGCTTCTAAAATGTGTGATCCAACACTTGTTATACAATTTACTTTTACCGTATTACCACTATTGCTGCCGACAAAATGTTGAGCTTCAGCCTCAAGATGTAGTCCAAGAATAGTTAAATTGTTTGCTGGATATCCGAGACGTGAAAGTGGATATTTGATGGTGTATTTCGAAGCAACCTGTAAATAAGTTATTTATAAATCCAGTAACTAATTTAGCTACGTCTTAATTATTATAATAAAAATATTCATTTCAAATTTAAACTAAACTATTTTATTGGTTAGATAAAATTCACTATTGATCGTGAATATATAGACTTTGAATGGTTATTAAATGTAGGATTAGCATGAATGGTTATTTGATAATAAAATTGAGACCAACATCTGTAGAAGACATAAAAGAAGAAAATTAAATATGTGAAAAAAGTGCAAAATAAAAGAAGATATTGCGAGGAATATTTTATTGTATAGACCCTTGTCTCTTACTTCCAAATAACCGTCAATATCGTGACGAACACTCTCACATCTAACTTAAAAATAATATCATATGAGATCAGACATTTTATTTCACTTATTTCAACCTGTATTTTTGTCACATTCACTCATGTACTTGATAATGTATATTGACTATCGTTTACAAACAGTCCAATGAAACGACATCACTTATTGGATAGTCAGTCAGTAACTTAAAAATAGTTTTCTTCATTTAGCAACTTTCTGGAAGTAATTTTGAAACCTTATCAGATATAGTTAGATCTAAAAGTGAATATTTTATCTGATCTGATTAACTTCAGGTAGATCCATTATAATAAAGCTTTAAATCTAATTAAATCTGATCAGACTCAACTAAATTTTAAAGACCTAAAAATTTGTTACAGTCTTTTTCTTCTCAATAAATTGACTACACTTAGCATAATATACTACGAATAACGTTCCAGACTCCCTTAAATTTTAGCAATTAACTAGGAATGAAATACATTTTAATTTGAGATTTATGTTCATATGTAGATAAGAATGGGGGTAGTGTGATACATTGAAGTCGTTGCGTATCAAAAGACTATTGCATGTCTTCGACAATTGGATAGGGATTATCATGGATACTAACGACAACCTATGTAAGGGATAGCATGCAATTCAAATAAGTGTTTGAGTGTTGGTGTATAGAATCGATTATAAATGTAGGCGTATCAGGAATACTCGATGACACTGTATCTCTATCTATTCTCTCTTGTTTCTCCTCCTCCTCATCATCATCTCTTAGTCCATCGGTAGATAATTTGCCTTTATTACGATGACATTCCATTCATCTTAAGTAATAATCGTACTATAGCCGTGTTATCGTGTTTGATTAGTTTCGACTAAAATGCATTAATTAATGTACAAAGAGTTTATTACTAGCAAAGAATTATCAAAGATTATTAATGAAGACTACATTTTTTTTATCAGCACTTATTGTTAATAAAATTTAGAAAAAGTATTTTTATATAATGTAGTTTAAATATGTTTTTTATGTATGTACTTAGTAGTATTAAAATCTAGTAAATTTAAAAAAGACTATAATTTATACTGTACTAATATACTTTACCTTCTTTCCGTTAATTGTCCAATGTATATTTGCTGGTGGCTCTGAAGGCCAGGCTGTACAGTTACCCGTGATATTTTCTCCAACAGCATAATGAGAAGACAACCCTGTGATTTCTGGTTTTCGTTTTGGCAAAGCTGAAAATTAATTAATTTTTCCCTTAAATACTGTTATTATGACTGTAAATATAAATAATTAACAATTAATTTAAATTATTTTTAAATAACAATTAAAAAGATCAAATTATGTTATGTAAGAAATTGAACTTCATTAAGTATTTACTTCATTGAATATTGCTGTGACTTTACGATAAATATTTTCTCTCCAAAACTCTTCAAGAGAAGGAAAGTGAATTCTCATCCCTTTATATGACCCATCAAGTCTGCTTCTCATTAAACGAAATCTTAGAAAATAAATTATAGGATGTTCTAAATTTCATTTAACGATCATTCTAACTAATAAGAAAAGTAGTATAAGGATTCTTAGTCAATTAAATAAAAAAAAATAATTTTCAAACATCCTTTAGAAAAGAACATGGAGAAAATTGAAGAGAAAAAATTCCAATTTTCGTAGCGACCCTCTTGAGTCCTTTACGGAAGAAGGTTTTCGAGAAATAGACATCAGCAATATTCATTATGACTAAAAAGTTTCTTTAAAAAAAAAATAAAGATTTATCTAAATTAAAGATTAAATCTATCTGAATATACACGTACAAATACAATATTTACTTTAATTAGATTTTATTTTTTTTTTACTCCCTACTCTTATCGTTATTGCAATACAGTTATTTATATTGCATAAATGAATAAATTTAAGCACAATTATAAATATGTAAAATTGACTACCGATCTATATATATATATACTGCAGAGAGTATTTTAAACAGGTATGTCAGGTACAAAGATTAACAAAGTGATCAACGTTTCAGTACTCTACAATCATTACACAGATTCGAAGAATAAATTTATATAACAAATTTTCGCACTGGCAAAAAAAAATATTTCCATTTTCTGACGTAGATTAACATGTACATTCACAATGTTACTGTGCGAGATGTGCAGCTACATGTCTCACTACTTCGCGTTATTATTAGGCGGTATACGGCAGTGCTTCTCATGCGCTAGAGCTCGGCGACCGGTACACGTACTTTCCTCTTCCGTAAGTACCGTAAATATTCATGAGCTTATAAATATTCATGTTTACTATTCAAAGAGAATAGAGCAGAAAAGGAAAAACCAAGAGGAACGACATCAACCTTCTTCCGAAGAAGTAACTCGTTTCTATTTTCCGAGTCACGAGTAAAAGTATATCACTGTCGACTGTCGATCCTTCTTCTATCTCTCCTAAGAGATTTTAAAGAATATATTCTACTCTGAAAATTAGAGAAAAGGATGCTAATAAAATATCCATACACTAAATACGTACACAAAACCAACTCATAAGAAAGTATTGGAATAAAACTTGAGATTTCTTGAGTTAATTTTCTCGAATGACATATTATTGATTAAGGTTGAGATATATTTTTGAAAAAATGATTCAATCATGATTTAGATACCATGGTAGTTAAAATTTTCATATTATTAAAGTAAGAAAAAATTTTTTCAATATATTTCAAGTTGATATTACTCATTTTTAGCTGACATCTTTTATTAGAGGAATAAAATAATTCAGTAGAATAGCATATAAGTATACTAATAAATTAAATTCAAGAATTATCCACTATCAATTCACAAGCTTTGGAAATGAGCCAAATAGCAAAATCTTAGTTTGTCTCTTGTTGCTTCTCTTCAAAGCTTCAACTATTTTTTCATCTACTCTTTCAAGCAGTCTAATGTAATAAATTAATATACAATATAAATATCCTCTTTTTGAATAATAAATGGTCTTGAAATAAAAAATAACTGTATAATTATTAACTTTAAGCAATGATATCTAGAATATCCTGAGTGGAGTAAGTTGTAGTAAATTAATTAATGATGAATATCAACATGAAAATATATGAAGAGAATAAATCATGCTTTCAAGAACAGATCGAAAGTTTTCAGTTGAGAAACTTAAGTGGATATGCATTTTAAGTGATATTATTTATCATCAAATAAATGTCTAAGATAAATTTTTATATTGTCATGAATCGTAATATTTATTTTGTTTAACCACGTGTGTTCACAACACCAACGAATTCAAATTATTTATGTATGAATATAATACATGCATTTTTAGTGTTGTAATATGCAACAAATTTATCAAGTTTTAGTTTCAGATAAATATAACTTTCATGAACATATGAATTTTACTCGGTTTAGTCTCTTTATCTACTCAGTGGATATTTGTATTCTACCACCAAGCTGTCCACGCTCGGTTAATTTATGTCAACCTAGGGAATGAAGCGTTCGTGGATACGTTTTACGAATATCGATTCTATACATTGCGGGTCACGATTCTCTTGGGATTTTCATGTTTTCTCTTGAAATTTTTTATTCGGCTGTTTTTTATTTTTTTGAATTTTATTGCCGATATTCTATACACGGAAAAACTATCTGCTCTTTGGCGTAACATTCACTGGTTTTATAAAATAATATACGATTAGAATATTAAAGTGGATTTCCATAGTAATTTTTTTACTTAGGTCTTCAATTATCGTACTTATTCTATCAATTGTAATCAACGTTACTGATTAGTAATGAAATTAATCAAAAAAATACAATTCTCTTCTGCATGTATTTTTTTGCTGATTGATATAAGCATAAAAAACTGAATGATAATTCTGTAAAAAATTGATATATCTTTTAGGAAAATATGTTTTTTTAAGTAGGAAATGATATTAAACTTTACTTACATATAACTGAGAGATTCCCAGTCTTGAAAGATGTTGCAAAAGCGGGTCCATCAGTTGATATTTCACACTTATATTGGCCTGCATTGTCGAGGGTGAGATTTGTGACACGAATTAAGTTCTCTTTACTCCGTGCAGTCTATAAACACAAAATAAAAGTATGAATTTTCAACATTAATAACGCTTATAACATATTTTATAATTAATTAACATAAAAATCAGTAGACTGAATATGATATATAATTTTTTATCTTGCTATTATAAAACTAGTTTAGTTAAACGTTGGTAGTTTAATGGAAAGATGAGAAATTAATGTTGGCAAAAATGATGAAATAGAAAGCTGGAAAAATGGATCAATCAAGTAATATTTTATAATTAAGTTTAAAATTCAGTATCAACTGTACCATAAGTACAAAGTTCACCTTACATGTGACTATTGTAGAAGTATATAAAAGCTTTTCAATATTCGCTTTTATCGTTCATATAAATTTAACTATATTAATAAAGTTATATTAGCACGGCAATGAAATTCTCATTATTTCCAGAAAGTTAAACTATTCATACTAGTTTATACACACATTGTACATTTAAGTTTTTTTTCTCTTGATTTCATTCACGACATATCGATTATTGTTTAAATTTGATTTAAATACATGTATATTAGTTGAGATAGATATAATTATTTTTCTATTGATTCATTATTGAGACCGATAGAAGGTACACAGAACTTGATTTTAAAAACAAACAGATCAATGCATTCAATAAAATTTCATGAAAGAAGAGAATTTATAATTTTGTTGAATATCAATTAATATGATAAACGAGAAGTATTTTATCGTGTGTACATATCTGTATGTATGATAAGATCTCGATAAGAACAGTTATGTAGGAGTATATAAAAGCACAAAATCCACGCTAGGTAAAAGTAACTTCTTGAAAGTCGACGAAAAAGATACACAGAACTATGATCAAGTGTTCATGTCGCTTCTTTGTCTTTTGCACCTTCCACATTTTCGCGATAAAACAAAGTTTGGTATGTTTTTAAATTGATTCCATTATCGATTTTATCGTAAAACTCTTTGTTATTACTTGTATCATGAAAACAGCTTTAATGTCACACAACAGATCACTGGTTTATTTCCATTATTAAAGAAATCTTTTGGCCTTCTATTCGCATTTTGGCCAATGTGTTTAATTTTATTGGATACTGAGTGTTGTAAAAGTAATAGAATAGCCATGAATTGATTGAAAATATACATAAAGCAGATTGTTTCTCTACAATAAAAAATTCGTATTATTTACTTACAGAGGTGATATCTATTTGAAAAATGTGGACTTTCAAAAATTTCTGCTAGGTCAATTGCTGAATGGAATATTTTATTTTTCAATTCAATTCAACATCAAAAATTTATTCTAGTTTTCTTCCAATCATGGTAATATTTTTTTTTTATTAAAATAGATGATTCTGAATCGAAAAATATTTTTCCAGAGATTTAATCAAGTTTTTAGATGATAAAATAAAGTAGTTTCTGTGGTCTGGTTCAAGAAACCTATGATATTCAAGGGTAGAAGATAAGTATAGTTAATATGTTTTAGCTGTTTTCACTGCACGATGAAAAGTTTTAGCAAAGAAAAATTTATTCTCTTATCTGCAGTTTGCCGTTAGTCTTGTACGTGCTACATAGCAGATATCAACGAGCTATGAGTTTAATCTTCTGAATAATATCCCATCTTATTTTTCTTACCACAAATGATACCAAAATTAGTAGGCGATTTTTAATTGCGAGGATAAAGTTTGTTCTTAAACTTTTTTTCTGGTTTTAACTCTGATAATATCATACAATATTAGAGTGAATATAAAGTTTTTCATATTACAATACTTATGATTAATTTTACATGAAAAAAAAAAATATTTATCCAACAAATAATTTAATAAAATATTGATTCTAATAGTTGGTAAATACTTACATCAAGTTTAACACCAGCTTGACTAAATGTTTGTATTGGTTGATGATTATTTGGTATGTACCGAAAAAACTCATGACCATCCTTGTACCATTTGACAGTATAAAGACTTTTCCCTCCATAAATTTCCCAATTGCATTTCATATCAATGTTTTCGCCAATTTCCGCTTCTTTGGGTATGTCAACAGTAACTTTCACATCTGTAAAAATAAAAATGGAATTAATTTTTTGATTTTTGATTAATAATCATTTAAGCGGAGAATGTTAAAAATTAGTTAAATAAAAATGGACATTATTTTTAAATGAACAAATAAACTAACAAATATTATAAATCTATGTAGATGAATGAATGAAAAAATGAAAACCGCAGAAAAAAGGAAATGGTTGTATTTCAAGAGATCTTTCAGTTCATAGATATTTAACTAGCAATATCTTATTTCAATGTGGATCGAAATTGAACGACAAGTAGCAAGAAACGTCATTCGCATCTGTTTCCGACTGAAAGTCACCCCCTTCTAAGACATCTTCCGTCGTACATCCGCAATTTTCTACACAGCTTCTGTATCTCTTCTTTCCCGTCTACTACAACCTTTACTATTACTACTACTACTATTACTCTTTACTATTTTCTCTATCCTACTGGTAGTGTAACCCATCAGGTTGATTTGCTAGCATTTTAAATTTCAAAGGAAAGGTATCTGCTTCACTTGTATTCACTTCGAAAAAGAAGAGCATAAAAGAAAAATAAAATCATCGAAAATTCTCTAAATAATTCGTAACTTTCTATTTTTTTTTATATTCCAAGTATTTTACTTTTTAATTATCTCATGACTTTTACATATAAAGTGAAAATTAGTTATGTTTCATGGTGAAGTTGAATTCAAGTTTGAAACATCCCAAAGACTGTTAGATTATTCTGCTAGTAGGGATCTTGGTACATAGAAAGCAAAAGTAGTACCTATACATCACCATTTGGTAACATGGTAGTGGGTGAACAAGGTAATGTAAAGTAAAATCTCAAGAGATATACCAAGACTGTATAAAGTTAACTTAAAAGACTTTAAGCTCTCTCTCTCTCTCTCTCTCTCTTCTCTCATTTACTATTATATGACGAAAAAGTATACTAAGTCATATTTTATTTTGTGATTATTTTATTATAAACTTTAAAACAGTACTAATTAATAAAATGCCTGAGAAGGATTTTCTCAACTATCAACTCTTTTGTTAAATGTCTATTTAAAATGAAAACGACTTCTGTTGATTTATATATTTATTTTGCTTATTTTCATAGAGAAAAATATGATCTATGATACGATGAATAAAAAGGATTTTCGAAGCAATAATGATAAAATAAATTGTTATATAATAATATGATTATCAAATATTATTTTAATAAAGTATTGCTTTGTGACACGTTTATGGAAAATTACATGGCAGTAAAGTCTGTGAAGCTGAATTTCGAAATTAAAATTTCCGCATTCTCTACGATATAACGACAAGGGCATGAAAGTGAATGTTTGCGTAGTTTTCGTAGAGAAAATGGAAATGTCGAGACAACAATGACCCCCGCCAAAACCCTTGCCTTTCTTCTCCGGAAAAATTCGTATATTGCCAGCGGGTGCGGCTGTGAATATTTGAATTTCATTTTCAATTCAGAACTAAAGCGGTAGCCTTGGGCAACTGGTACTCGATTTTCAAGCAATAGTATTCATGTTTATCGAAAATAAAAAAAAAAAATTACGATTACACAAAAATTCCAATATGCTTTTATTTGAATGCGTATAATGTGCGTGCAATAATTTTAAAAAACAATATTGATTGTAATGATGATTATTAATTCAAGTTTAACTGGTTGTATGTCAAATATTACATTTTTCTAGTTGAATTTTCTTTTTTCTCATTTCTTTAATGTCAATATTTACATTAGTTATTATTAATATTATTTTTTCAATAAAAGGGAGTGTAAATAATTGAGTTAAATCGTTATGAAGAAAAAACCTTGTATATTACCTCAGTGAAAATAACTTGGTTAAATTTATAATTTTATCTTTCAACTTGAAAGCGAATATTTCTTAACCCAACGATAAAATGAGCAATTTCATCTAGAGACCTATCTCTCTTGCGTCATTGGTTTTTCTCACCATATCGATACTTAAGCTTTCTTCTCTTCAGTAGATTTTTTTTATTTTTTTCCAAATACTATATCCACTTTCGTTCAAGTTTTTCCGCTATTTCTCCTTTACGATGGATATCACTCGTTTCCGTAGCCATACACCTGGAGTGAGTTGAAACAGTTACAAGAGGTTATCCACCCGGGACTTCCCCACAAGATAGAAAACAGGTAAAAAGTAAAATTGTACGCAGGGTCTAGATAGTCATATTGTCTCACACTATTTTCGAAATCCCATCGATACGTTGGCAAATATGTACGATCAGAAATATACATTTATCTTAAAGCCTTCGTATACTATTTTTACAAATGTACACATTCATTTTTGATCCTGGATTTGTTGTCAAATATATTTTATTATTATTATAGATATTGACACAAAAGTGAACAAATAAATTGTTGATCAATAATTTTTTGTACATAAATTTTTTAAAACCTACAATTGATCAACTATAACTACCTTAAAACCACTTCAGAACTATCTTAAAATATTCCAACAATAGTTTTGTTTTCAACTAATAATAATTTTATTATTAATCAATAGTTGATTAATCATATACTGTAGAACATTATTTCTAAATCAAGAATAAAATTATTCTCAATCTAGAAATATTATCTCTCTAGTGCAGATTTCAAAAAAGCTCATCACCCTAGAAAGGTATGCCAGACTCGCCAGTAAATGCAGTTATCATCCAATCATGGCTGAGTACACAACTATTACTGGATGATAACTCCATGCTAGTCTCAATCCTGATCCAATAATGGTCCTATTGTATGTTCTTACAGTGCATTGCAAATGATAGTGTTTTATTTAAACCTACTATCTATAATAATAAAATACCTTCAACAATTCAAATTAGCAATGATAGCAGACTTATCATTGGTTAACCATTCATCTATTCATTGTCACCCAGATATAATTGACCTTATTAATATTTTTTTTCATTTATTCAACAATTTATTATGAACCTCCTTATAAACATTAAGATATTTAATAAATAATAAAACATTATGTTTAAATTAAATACCAAAAAGGTTCGATCTCCAAAGCAGAATGTATTTAAAAAGTGCTAATGTTATTTTCTGAAAAGAAAAATCGAAGAATCAAAAGCCCTGTGTGTGAAATGCAAATACCTTGTTTTACTTGTTTTTCATTAGTCAAATGAATATACATTAATGCCTTGCGGCAAGCAAGACTCCATTTTTCTCGGCAGAGTTGCCAGAGTTGGCAACACGCGGCGACCATTATACTTGTATATCTCTACTGGGAATAAATGGTGATAATATCAAAACCCTGCTCTTGGCATATCCTTCTGTTGTAACATATCTCTCTTGTCTATTCGTACACAATATTTATCATCATTTGTATCTTTTTATTCAACATCTTCATATCATATGATTTTTATGTGGTTTCGATTAATCCTCATTCGCCCCCTTTCATTTCCATTTATTCTATATAATAAAATATACTCCTCCCTTTTTTATTACTCCCTATTTTTAGCTCTTTCATCCGTAATGTCTTTCGCATTGACCTGTATTATCTTCTCGAATGTAATGCATTCGAGAATTATCATATTAACATACAGTATTATTTCTGATATATTGTAATGGAAATTCTATAAGAAAAAAAAAAAAAAAAATATTGATAATATAAGTCGTAATTATGAAAGTACTTGATATTATTAACTAGAATATCCTTTCATTAATTACACTTTACTTATTATAATCTAATATTCAAGTGGTTCAGATTATTTTAATTTAACTTCCTTTTTTTTTTCATTTTACTACGTCGTTTTTTCCAATATATTTCTTAAACGTATTCTCTAATTGGGATTGTTCCAACGAGCTATTCGTGATTTTTCATTCTCCAGCAATTTTATACGACGGACGATTTGGCGCTTCGATCCTTCTGGACATTTTCCAATTCTTGAAATTTCTTTATGCTTTCTCTCCACCTTCTGTCTGTCTCATTTTCCTCGAGCTTACGATTTCCTATATTTATTTTTATTTATCTCCATTTCAACAGCATACATTAGCTTAACCGTATAGAATGAAATCCGTTGTTATTTATGTTGCTTAACGAGCATTTGATGATTTATGTGTATTGCTGTCTTTTGCCAAGGTATTAAACACCAACAATGACTAATGAAGCCATTTAATATTTCGTTAACAAAAAAATTATTCTGCTTTCTCTTTTATTCTTTATTATTTTAATATATTTTACTTATAAAAAAAAAATAAAAGAAATATAAAACAATATACAATGGGGTTGAACAATAGGTAATCAGTTCGAACTATGGTAATATATATATGTACATTTTAAAAATAAAAATTATTTTTTTGTTCTATTACTTTTGTTTTTATTGGAGAAAAGATAATTGCCTCTTAGCGTGATATTTGTAAATCATTAGAGTAAAAATAATTTCAAGTTAAATGCAAATATGAATGTGTTCAAACGTATGATTTTTATTTCAGTACCATTATGTGTTATTAATAAAACAGTGATGCTTTTTAGTTAGATGAATATTAATCCATTAAATATATTATGATATGTATGAGAGAACATTGTCAAAGCGATTTTATAAAATACAAACGAGACGGAGTCATATTCAAAATATGTTTTACTAATTTCAAGAGGTATGGGAATAAGCAGCATTATACCGGATATTCCGTCGGGAATAATTGTACTCGTGAGCTGAATTGAAGGGATAGCGTAATATAAAGTGCATGAACCTCCCTATCTCTCTTTCTCTCTCTCTCACTAGTTAGGGATCGTTGAAGCTAAACTCCATAGAAACTGTCTTGAGAATTCGCTATGTACCCAAGGGTTATACAATGTACCTTATATTTTATTTCTTCATTTTCCTAAAGGCTTTATTTAATAGACAATCTGTCGATCATGTCAAAATGTTCATTTCTGAGAGGAATAGAACAATAGGAAATTCAATAATTCGAATTAGTAATTTGAGTTAATTGAATTTTTACCGACGTAATGGTAGAATTAATCATTGATATCGATTATTTGATGAA